ACTCATAGGAGCTGATCATACCCATCTTATCACTCCAACACTGCCTGTAAAGTTAGGCCCCCCCGGAGCCCCTGTAGCAATCAAAACCCGTCTCGGCTGGACGTTACAGGGCCCTGCTAGAGATCTTGTTAGCTCTCCCTCACAGGCCAAGTGTCACTATATCTCCTTTAAATGCCCACCTGATGACATCCACCACAATGTGCAAAAACTGTGGCAGCTGGACACAGTGCCTCCTAGGAACACAAAATTGGTTGTCCGCTCTAAACAGGACCAAGATGCAATTCACCAGCTGGAGACTCAAACCATCCGAATTCCTGTTGATGACGTCCTACGGTATGCCACACCTCTCCTCCGAGCAGATCCCTGGCCCCCCCTAAAGGCACCTAAGGAAGCAGTTATGTCCCGTCTTCGCAGCTGTGAGAGGCGACTGCTCCAAAACCCCTCACAGGCGGAGACCTATACCAGAGAGATCCAGAAGTTGGTTGATGCTGGGTATGTCAAGAAGTTAACCTTATCTGAAGTAGCAGATGCTCCTGAGTCTTGGTACATACCTCATCACATTGTGCATCATAATGGAAAGGACCGCATTGTGTTTGATTGTTCTTTCTCCTATCAGAATCAATGCCTGAATTCACAATTGCTCCCTGGTCCAACCCTTGGGCCTTCCCTCCTTGGAGTTCTCCTCCGTTTCAGGCAGCATAGGATTGCCATCAGCGGAGACGTTAAGTCCATGTTCCACCAGGTGCGCCTGCTACCCCGAGATAAACCCCTTCTGCGCTTCCTCTGGCGTAACCTAGACAGTAGATCCTCTCCCACTGTATATGAATGGCAAGTCATCCCATTTGGCACCACCGCCAGCCCATGCTATGCCATTTACGCCCTCCAGAGGATTGCCAAGGATGCACAGGCAGATGAGCGCATTACCTATTCCATACAGCATTGTTTCTATGTGGATAACTGCCTTCAAAGTCTCCCCACACAAGAGGAAGCTAAGGACCTCCTTCACTGCATGCGTGCAACCCTCTCCTCTGGTGGCTTTGAGATTAGACAATGGGCCAGTAATGACCCCAAGGTCATCTGTGATCTCCCTCCCGATGCTAGATCAGACCAGGCAGAGCTCTGGCTGTCACACCATCCTTCCCTTGATCCCATGGAATCTACTCTAGGCCTCCACTGGAATTGCCATACGGACACCCTGAAATACAGGCACAGAGCCATTGAAGCTACTACTCCAACCATGCGTCACATCTATAGAGTTCTTGCAAGCCAGTACGATCCTCTTGGCTACATCCTCCCCTACACAACAAGAGCCAAGATCATTGTCCAGCACCTGTGGGCAAAGGCGAGAGAATGGGATGATCCAAACCTTCCCCACAACATCCTAGAAGCCTGGCTTTCCTGGGAAGGAGAACTCCCTAATCTCTCCTCAATAGTACTGCCCCGTTGTCTTATCCATTGGACAGTAAACACCCCCTCAGCCATCCAAGACCTGCACATCTTCTGCGATGCATCAGAGCAGTCTTATGGTGCAGTCGCCTACATGCGCACTGAAGATGGTCAACAGGTGAATGTGTCCTTCCTAATGGCAAGGTCCCGTGTTGCGCCCAAAAAACAACTATCTATCCCTCGACTTGAACTGTGCGCAGCCCTCATTGGAGCTCAACTGTTCAACCTCCTCCGAACAGAGCTCACCCTCAACATCAGACGGGCTACTTTATGGAGTGACTCTACCACCGTCCTCTATTGGCTTCTCTCAGACTCATGCCGCTATAAGGTCTTTGTTGGAACCAGAGTGGCTGAAATCCAGGAACTCACCAAAAGCCAGGAATGGCGCTATGTGGATTCCCGAAACAACCCAGCTGACGATCTGACTAGAGGGAAGCAGCTGTCTGATCTAAGTAAGCCTTGCAGGTGGAACCAAGGACCTGCCTTCCTCCTGCAACCCCCTGACCTGTGGCCAACTAACCCCACAATAGATCAGGCCGAAGATCCTGTCGAGCTACGTAAGCCCAGTTTCTGTGGTGCTGTATTTCTTTGCCAAAATCCCTCGATCTCTGACCCTACCCAGTTCACCACCTTTCAGGATCTCCTTGACTCTACTGCTGCATCCCATCATGGGGTGGCAGAACCTCCTGCAACACCATCGGCAGAAACCTACCTTGACGCAGAGATTGCAATCCTGAGACAGACCCAGCTGGATTCCTTTGGAAATGATTTGGCATGCCTTCAGACCCACAAACCCCTTCCACATTCCAGTCGTCTTCTTTCCCTTGCTCCGGAACTAGATCCAGTGTCAGGTCTCATTCGAGTAGGCGGAAGGTTACGACAAAGCAATGACCTGCCCCCTGATGCCATACATCCAGTTGTCCTGGACCCTGCCCATCCGACCACGAAACTTATAATTAAACATTGTGATAACCACCTACATCATTCTGGTCCCGAGAGGCTATTCGCTGAGCTGAGGAGGCGATTCTGGATCCTGAGGGGTCGTGAGGCTGTCAGGAAACACCAGCACAGATGTGCTAAGTGCAGGCAGTTCCGTGCCAAACCCCTTATCCCCCAAATGGCCGATCTTCCTCCTGCTCGCCTACGCCTCCGCAAACCTCCCTTCTATTCCACCGGGATAGATTGTTTCGGGCCCTACACTGTGAAAGTTGGACGGCGAGTTGAGAAAAGGTGGGGAATTATTTTCAAATGTCTGACAACTAGGTGTGTACATCTAGATCTACTCAGTCACATGAATACCGATTCCTTTTTAATGGCACTAAGGCGCTTTATAGCTCGCAGAGGCAAACCTTTTGAGCTGCTTTCTGACAGAGGTACCAATTTCATCGGAGGCAACAGAGAGCTAGAGGAAGTCTACCGATCCCTGACCCCTGACCTCCAGGCAATCCTGGCCAAACAGAGGATCTCCTTCAAGTTCAACCCCCCACACGCACCCCACTTCGGCGGGACGTGGGAGCGTGAAATACGTTCCATCAAGATTGCCCTGCAGACCACCCTAGGTGCCCAAGCTGTCACTGAAGAGGTGCTACGCACAGTGATGATTGAAATCGAAGGTATCCTCAATTCAAAGCCCCTTGGTTATGTCTCTTCTGACGTTGCAGATCCTGATCCGGTGACTCCTAACCTGTTGCTCATGGGGCGGCATGACTCTTCCCTCCCCTTGGTAACGTATCCTGACTCTGAGCTGCGCAGCCGCCGTCAGTGGCGTCATAGTCAGATTCTTTCTGATCATTTTTGGGCCCACTTCCTCAGAAATTATCTTCCTTCTCTCCAGTCTAGACAGAAGTGGCGCACTGATAATCCTAACCTCCAACTAAACACTGTTGTTCTCATTCTTGACCCTCAGCTCCCCCGGTCCCTCTGGCCAGTAGGTAAAGTGATTGCCCTCCATCCCGGCAAGGACGGCCGTTGTAGGGTTGCAGATGTCCAGGTGGGGAACAAACAGTACACAAGACCCGTTGCCCGCCTCATCCCACTCCCTGCCCTACCTGAACCCCCATGACCTTCCACTCAAGCAAATTTGCAAGACAAATTTGGGGGCGGCTGTTTGGAAGTTTTCCTCTCTGTCCTGCAGTTGCCACGCCCATTTTTCTTTGCCACTCAGTTCCCCATGCAGTGCACCACACCTTCAACTAATTAGCTCCAATCAGCCACAGACTTTATTAGACAGCACCTGTACACAGCTCTTTCTCTTTGTTCCTGCCACATGGAGGAATCCTTTGTGTGTTGCTTCTGGAAATGCCTTGTCTCCTGCTCTGTGTGCGTTATTGAACTATAAACCACAAATTACACAAACATACCTAATAAAGAAAGGCATTGTGGAATTAAAGTGACTGGACTAGACTGTTCTTACCGATACCTCCACTGGTCTCAAGCCAGCTACCTGCACATCCCTCTCAAACCTCCTTTTCACACACACACACACGCGCTTGCAGTCAGAGACAGACTGTCACTCGACTGGCTGAAATAAGTTCTCTTTCACGGTATGCTGCGCTTTTAAGAATTCTTTTTAGTACCATCGAGCATATCATACTTTTTGTTATGTCATTCAATCATGTTAAATGCGTTAATAAGTTTGCCGTATCCCAATGAAAACCTGGGCGGTTATGTGAGAGGGCAGGAGAGACGCATTTTCTTTCGCCATGTTTCTGACAGACCGCTCACAGACATCACGCGTGCGCAACATCTGTATCCACGTAAAAATGCATTGAAACTTTAACTAGATATATTTCAATTGGGTGATTATAATTTAATGTTTTATGAGGTCATTTTTTGAATTTTTGTGATTATTTTGCGGTTAATTTAGAGATTATGCAGGATCGCAAAAAAATGCGACATTTTGTTGATTTTGCGTTGTATTCAGCGATCGCAGAATCGCAAAAAACTGGAGGGACTGATAAATGCCTCATTCATTCATACTCCTCAATGGATCGAGTCCAGACCGAACTTCCCGACCAAAAAATGTTGTGGGCGGGGTTCGGGCTGGCATCCAGGCTAATTCAGAATAGTTTGTTTTGGTTTCATTTTCATGGAATCTTAGTTTGCTTATGGCTTCAGGTTTCCTTTGTTCTCATTTTCTAGCCACTTGTTTGTCACCATGGTTACTAATTTAACGATCACACCTGTTTGTATTCTGTTCATTATCCCTGTAAAGTCCCTCAGTCTGGTTCATTCATTTGTCTGGTATTGTTTGTGCTACACACTCTGTTTCGTGGACTCTCGCATTTGTATGCACCTGAGTGGATTCTGTGTAATACATTTAATTAATCTTCATTGGAAACTGAGACTAAACTAAGTTGTCATGGTTGAAAGTTTTAATTTAGATAATTCAAACTAATATGCCACAAAATAGATAAATGTCACATCTAAAATTCTAATTGACAAAATTCTAATCTTTTTAGTAATATTTCTAGCTCTATAGATAAAAATGGCAAAAAGAATTGTACAAATGTATACGTTAGCAGCAGCTTGACACCTCCAAAGTGACCTCTGACCTGTTATCCTCAGGTATATACAGGGTCATGATCTGTCGGATCTGAGTGCAGCGAGCTCTCCAGCCATTTCTCTCCTCCAGACGGGTCATTTCCACAGGCTGTGAGTGGTCAGGTACTCGGGTCCACCGCATAGGCGTTAAGTGTTGAACACACAGTCTGGGAGGGCACTGAGGTCTTGCATTTCTTCTTTCGCTCCAAAAAACTCCCGCTGATAGTGGCATCACATTCTGTGAGCAACATTACAAATATAAACTGCAGAAAATATTATAGGAAACTATATAGATACAAAGTTGTTTGATGTTTTATTTGTTAAGAGCAGATCAATAGTGAAATACTTTTTTCTGGGCATTCTAATATAATATATATAATATTAATTAATAATAAAGGGAGAGAATACAAATAACTGCACAGTGGTATAAAATCAAAATATATGATATCTTAAAGGTACAATATGTAGGAGTTTTGTAATAAAATATCCAAAAATCACTTGCACAGGGTCAGGGTTCCCACTCTTTTTCAGCCACCATTTTCCAGGTCTTTTTCAGGACATTTTCAATTTTACTATGACGGGGAAAAAAAATTCAAGGATCACGCCCTAAAGTAATATATTGCTCTCTAAATCTTTAAAAGGCATACAGTTTATTGCCATGACTTAACTATAAAATCACTTTTTAATATGAGCTCTTAATCATACATTATGACTATGGAAGCTAGGACTGTGCGATTTGGGGAAAATATCTAATTGCCATTTTTCGGACAGATATTGCGATTGCGATTTGATTTGCGATTACATTTTTGTGAAGTCAAGCTTCAGCTCAATATTCTCAATTGGCTTGCAGCACACACTCTAAATTAAAGTAGTACAACATGCCTTTAACTGTAGACCCCTCCACTACCTAGTCTAGCAGATGCAGAGTGCCTTTCTATTAGTGTTAGTGTCATGCATTTTGTAAGCAATTTTTTTTTTTTAGTCTTAGTCCTGTGTCCAATGTCCTTTTTAGTTTTTATCTCATCTGTTTGTATCGAAACGCTGATGATACAAAGTTTTTACGTATACAGCTAAACGCGTCTTCGTGTGGACGAGCATTTATACTTAGTGACTGAAATAACCACTCGTTACAACCGAGGTAGGCAGCAAAGCATTTGTGAAGCCACAACACGCACAACCTTGAGGCGGATGGGCTACAACAGCAGAAGACTCCACCGGGTACCACTCATCTCCACTACAAATAGGAAAAAGAGGCTACAATTTGCAAGAGCTCACCAAAATTGAACAGTTGAAGACTGGAAAAATGTTGCCTGGTCTGATGAGTCTCGATTTCTGTTGAGACATTCAGATGTTAGAGTCAGAATTTGGCGTAAACAGAATGAGAACATGGAACCATCATGCCTTGTTACCACTGTGCAGGCTGGTGGTGGTGGTGTAATGGTGTGGGGGATGTTTTCCTGGCACACTTTAGGCCCCTTAGTGCCAATTGGGCATCGTTTAAATGCCACGGCCTACCTGAGCATTGTTTCTGACCATGTCCATCCCTTTATGGCCACCATGTACCCATCCTCTGATGGCTACTTCCACCATGTCACAAAGCTCTAATCATTTCAAATTGGTTTCTTGAACATGACAATGAGTTCACTGTACTAAAATGGCCTCCACAGTCACCAGATCTCAACCCAATAGAGCATCTTTGGGATGTGGTGGAACGGGAGATTCGCATCATGGATGTGCAGCCGACAAATCTGCGGCAACTGTGTGATGCCATCATGTCAATATGGACCAAACTCCCTGAGGAATGCTTCCAGCACCTTGTTGAATCTATGCCACGAAGAATTGAGGCAGTTCTGAAGGCAAAAGGGGGTCCAACCCGTTACTAGCATGGGGTACCTAATAAAGTGGCCGGTGAGTGTACATAGCAGCATGAAAAATAAAACTTTTTTCAAACTGCAAATGGGTTATATGCAGATAGCAAACAAAGAGCGTTCCTTTTTTAATCACTACAGCTGTCAATCACTTCAGCGCTAGCTCACAGAGTTCAGCACTGTTGAGAAAACTCCTGTTATACTCAATGAAGCTGGATACAGTGCACAATTAATATCTTATTGACCTTATAATCACATCAAAATGATTAATTATTAGAACATTGTACTTTCTGCAACTAAGTCAAGTCAGGTCATCTTCATTTATATAGCGCTTTTAACAATGGATTGTTCCAAAGCAGCTTTACAGAGATAAACATATAATTTAAGGTAACAGAGATTGTTTTGGCTTTATAGCGGTTCTTGAATAATGTTATTTCCAGCTAAAGTTAGTTTTGATTGATTCACCTCCATTGAAATGATCATTTGTTATTAAATTACTAACGGTAATTGTTTTTGGCCAGTGAAAAACTCTTTGTTCTCACCTAAATAAAAAACGAATAACTTTTTTTTTTATAATTTTCCAGGACAACAACAAGATTTTCCAGGACATTTTACACTTTCTCTAATTTTCCATATGTTTTCCATGACTGGAAAGTTTGTCATCAATTATCCAGGTTTTCAAGGTTTTCCAGGACGACTGGGAACCCTGAGTGTGATATATTTCCTGCAGTTGTGTAATTACAATATCCCAAAAGTCTCCAAAGATTTTTTATTTCAGAGAAATTCCCATTTTAAATAAGTGGTCGTCCCGGGAAAAAATGCCGCCTGTCAATGACGCAATATCCGCGCTTTCCTTGGTTTCCGCTCGTACTGCCATAGCCATGATGTAACCATGGCGACAGACGCGGACAACTGCATAGTGCGTAACGTTTAGCTGCACGCTGTTGTTGTTTCGTTCAATTATTATGGACCATGGCAAGCAGACTTTGGGACAAAAAAAAAAGGAGAACTAAAATGAGGATCAATATCAGCGTGGCGTTTTCAAGATGCCGAGAGCTCCACGTCCGCGACTAACTTGGAAGAGCAACACCGCTCTTGCATATACTTTATTAGACAGGTGAGCAAATGTACATAAAACAAAAGGATGTATCTGTGTTTCCTTGCAACACATGCAACTGTCAATAATATCACTTATAAACAATGCGAGATACATAGGCCTTTATGACGTGACATATCAATAATTATGCATATGTTGATTCACCTCAAAAACTATCAAGTGATCATTCTGCTGATGAAAATTCACAGTTATATTGCTCTTTGTACTTTGGTAATGCTTTTTATCACTTGTGTTTTGACCGAGATTATGGCAGTGCAATTAAATACAATCGGATATGTGTTGTTAAACAATATTTAGCCATTACTTGCAAATGTTCGTTCAAATTTACTTTGAGTACGATTGGTTTGAACACGTAAAACAACACGGCATTAACGATAAACACGTAAAACTGCGCAGCATTAACCCAACAAATCATTTGACAAATAGCTGTAACAGGATAATATAGCATAACATTTCACGTTCCTTGCAGTTAATTCATTATGGTGACATAAAATATTGCGATCAGACGATAAGTACCTCATCCGTGATCATGATTCATTAATTCCATAACATCTCTGGATGGTGAAAACGACATCTCCCATCGTTCAACTCTCCCTCATAGCGTCACCAAGCTTCGCCTTTGTTATTGTTGGTATATGCGCCCTCTTGTGGCGAAAAATTCCTACATATTGTACCTTTAATTATGATGCGAAATGCATATTTGTATATTTGTGTATGGATCTATTAGAGTGCACAAGAAAGTCTAATTTGATATTGATCTTTACTCTTGTGCTGATTTAAGCCAAGCTCAGCCAAAATGGATGTGTTGCAACCCATTTTAAGAAGACTGATACTGCATTCAAGGTTTTTATTTATTAATGCCAAAGGAGCTGGCAATGGAATTCTTTTAAAGCTTGCAAGGACATCCATTGGGCTGAAAGAAGCACCTTTTCACAGATTTATTTGGCCTGGCCATGGAGAACAGAACTGATGTATTGGGTGTACCTTGATACGTCCCAGCTCAAACTGGAAGACATCAGGACTGGTGGGTTTAGCAAATACAGCAGGGAAGAGCTTGGTGCCAGGTTCCACCTACAAAAGGAGAGACATTGCTGAAGTCAAACTAAAAGTTACACTTATATCTAAACATATGAATGAGGACAATTTTGTAATAAAAAGTATGTAGAAAGTGTCTTTCTGCTTGTTTGTGGCTCAAACCATGACAACATAGTAAAGATATGCTTGCAATTATGGTATTTTTCCAAATGCAAGCGTCATAATATTTTATTGGACTGTGTATGCTAAGATTATTAGAATACACTAATGTACTTTAACCTAAATGATACAATAATGATAGATAAAAATATGCAACGCTAAATAATTGCAATGTCACCACTTCTGACTTTGATGTTTACCTGGAAGTATGTTGCAAGCTCCTTGCCATTAGCAGTGAATGTCAGGAGCCCTGTTGCTGTGTCAGCCAGACAGCCAATCTCCAGCCCGCTGCTGTTGCGACTGTGGGACAGACTACTGCCCTCTGCTGCACTCACCATGTAACAGCTGCTACGCTTGACACTAACAAATATACACAGAACAGCATTATATCAAATTAAAGACAGGTTTATTAATATTTTGAATTAGCTTTTATTTCATATTTTATGTCCTTGTGTCATTTTTTCTTTGGGTGTGGGAGGGGTTAGATTTGTACATCTTTAAGGTTTAAGCTATATTTTATTTCAGTTTTACGTGTTGTAATTTTAGAAACTTATTTATTTCAGGTAGTTGCCAAGCCAACATTTCTAAATTTCTAACTTCATTTTCAGTTTTTCATCCAACATTTATATTTTATTATATTTCAGCTTTATTTCAATTACCAAAACATTTTTTTTAAAGATACAGCATCTTTCAAATGCCCCATGAGTCCTACCTCTCATGAACTTTGCCCCACTCATCCCCAAGAGTGACTGTGACACTGCAAATGCTGTCCAGGTCAAAGGTCACATCATGATGGTTGAACTTCGAAGTTACCCATCCGACCCAAACGTAAGAGGGCTCCTGACTGTAGGGGATTCTCACAGAGTAATAATACTGCGGTGAGAAAGACGAAATAAGATTATGTTAAACATACAGTAACTTAAGACTACTTGCTTGAAAGTCACAAGGCCCCATTCAGTGATCCAAAACAAATGGATCAATAAGAAAAGGGTTACTGTCTACCGTAGTACAGTGAACGAGGCGGTTGTCTTCATCTTTCTCGATGGCCAGCACTTCCTCCAACAGACGAGCTGATGAGTGACTAGTGTTTAACTCTGTTTTCTTCTTCAACATAAACCTGCAGCCACCAATTGATACAGGTATGTAAAGACAATTTCAGTCAATAATTTATCCTCCATAGATTAATCATGTTAGTTCAATTGTGTTTGGTGTTCTAGAAGCAAAAGTGAACAAGGAGGAGTGAAGTGAACTCACCGCTGTTTGAGTCTGGATGGCTTCTCCTGACTGTGGTCCTTGTGATTATTGAGTTCATCTCTGGATCCTGCGTATCTGTGAGCTTTCATCAGTAACTCAAAGTCAGAATCTGCTTCTCCTTCCTCTGGGTCTTTGAGTTGGCACACCACACCGCTGCTGTGTGGCACAGTAACCTCGCCAGGGCCGGAGAAAACCTGTGCACACTCGACTGGCATGCTCAGACGGTAAAATCCAACAGAGCTTGTGCCCCTTTCCTTCTTCCCAAAAAACCTCTGTGTTACTTTCAGACATGGGGTGTTGTCGACTGTTCCAACACGAATCACCTGGGTAGCAATTTGAACATTATATGTACAACATATAGAACATTGTATGAGACCATAAAATAATTCAGGTAGCAAAACAACTAAGAAATGTAGTTGTGGTGGTGCTGCCTTAAATAGGGGACATTTTATGAATGAAAATAATAAAATAATAAATATTTTTTATATGTGTCCATGACATAATTTCAAAATTGTATTTATATTATATATGTAAAACATTTTAAAATAAAGAATAAAACAAAATAGTTTTTATATATTTGTGTCCAAGACATATTTTCAACAGTTAATAAATCCATCCGTGTATCATTCGTTCAGTCGTTTTTTGAATTAATATTGAAAGTAGAAAAATTAGAAAACAGTTCCTTTTTAGTTTTCTTCATTTTTTCCAAAAAGAAACGAAAAACAAGAATTCAGCTTGATTTTTCGTTTTTCGTTCTGAGTAGAAAAATGAGTAGTAAACAGCTTGAATATTTGATTTCTACAATTACTACACGTAGGCGGGAATGAAACGCCCCTTTCCTCTGATTTGTCAGCCGAAGATCAAACTGTCAGACGGTTTTATTGTTTATTGTGATAAGAAAATTTTCAAAAAAAAAAAAAAATCAGTCCTTCAGTTGCGCACAGCAGAATAAGAGTCCTCCGCTGCTGCTGCAGTTGTGCAGATTCTTATCTCGTTTATTGCAACTACATTTCATCTTTTTCTCATCAAACAACCAGACTAACGAATGGCTCGACACAACCCGTACCGGGGAAGAGCCTAGACAGGGCTTTCTTCTGTGTAGATATAAATTCGCTTTGCATCAGCTTGGTATGGCAGGGTAAATGACGGCTGTTAACATTTTATTAAAATGTATTAGCCTATAATTTATTTCTAAAGGATGCGCGCTTGTGCGTGGTGTTGTGGCGCACCAGGTCATGTTGAGAGTAAAACACGCGTGCGTCACATCGCATTTTTTTATTAGCCTATTCAGAAATAGTGTAAAAGACTGGTAAATAAAATACAAAATGAACATAAACACTATTAATAACATTTAGGCTATGTGTATTTTACTTCCCCTTATAGGCTATAAGATTATGTCAAATCCTTAAATTAATGGTATTCAGAAAACAACAAGAATGAAAAATAAGCAGCCACGTATAATAAAAATATACATATTAGCCTATAAAAATAGGCTATTGTGACCTTTATTACAAACAACATTTAGCCTATTTTAAACCCCAAGCCTAAACTAATTTATTTGAATCGAAACTGAAACTGTACCAACGTTGGGTTCGCGCATCTCTTATTCGGTCCAACGTTTCCATATTTGCAATGTAACATTTGGATGCTAACTTAATGTAAAGAAGGCTTCATACTTTAGTCGAGTCCTAATACACACGAAGACTATCAGCATCTTCAAGAGATATGAGTTTGGAATAACAGCAAGTTAGACTGAACGAAATGAAATGAAATAATGAAATGAATTGATTAAATGAAATGAAATGATGAAATGAAATTGAAATTAAATTAAAAACAAGTGCTGTTTATCTGCAAAAATATGATGAAATATAATAAAATATGATATGATAAAAAATGGACTAACTTGTATGTTAGAATGGTCATCTGGTATAGGAATGAACAAGGGCTCTCTCCAACTCATCCACAAAGGTAGATCTTTGGTCATGTTCAGACCGAAGGGCTGGTATCCCTCTTGTAGGCCACAAACACTAAAGTATCTCAGTGAGTCAACCTGACGACCCAAATTTAGACGACCCACCTGGTTTATCCCTATACTACAAACAGGCAGGAAACCTAGAATTTATCAAAGAGAAGACAGCGAGAAATGCATGTTATACAAAGCAAAAAATACACATTTAAATATATATTATTCAAATAAATTTGATAATTACGTGTCAGAATGGAAAATGACCACAGAGAACATACCATCAGACATATTAAAGTCTTTTACAGCCAGTTCAGAGCCACGACTGTTTAGCAGTAGCTCTCCATTCAGAGTAACCATCATAGTGCATGTAGTCAGGTCCAACAAACAGCCAATTACATCCCCCCTCTTCCAGCGGCCACCCAATTGCTCTTCCCCACCATGCCACCACTGCCCCTAAAACATGCATGTAAGAGATGAACAAAAATGATATTACCCGATATCTTTTTTTCATTTTTTCATTTTATGATCTTTAATTGTTCCAAAAGGCATCTCAGACTCAGTCAATATATAGTCAGTATACGATCTCAGTAAAATTGGCTTTCCCATAATAAATTATCATTGAAATACCTTAGAACCATCAAACACGAAGGCCTGTTCATCTGACCCAAGATCTACGTCAGGTTTACATCCAGGTCGTGCCCAGCCCACTCTCATCTGTCCATCAGTTACAGCCTCAAACTCAAAGTACCATTTGCCATAATGCACTGCAAAGGGCTGCTCCAGGCGGAAAATCCGAAATCTCTCTGCAGTCACAGATTTAATATTGATACTTGAGGCTATGGGAGACAAAAATAAAACAAATGTTTATGTTGATTTACTACCATACTAATGTTTTTGAAAGCAGTCTCTTATGCTCACCAAGGCTGCATTTATTTGAGCAAATAAAGTAAAAACAGTACTAATATTGTGAAATATTACTACATTTTAAAATAACTCTTTTCTATTTGAATATATTTAAAAATGTAATTTATTCCTGTGATGGCAAAGATGTACAGTGAGGAAAATAAGTATTTGAACACCCTGCTATTTTGCAAGTTCTCCCACTTAGAAAACATGGAGGGGTCTGAAATTGTCATCGTAGGTGCATGTCCACTGTGAGAGACATAATCTAAAAAAAAAATCCAGAAATCACAATGTATGATTTTTTAACTATTTATTTGTATGATACAGCTGCAAATAAGTATTTGAACACCTGAGAAAATCAATGTTAATATTTGGTACAGTAGCCTTTGTTTGCAATTAAAGAGGTCAAACGTTTCCTGTAGTTTTTCACCAGGTTTGCACACACTGCAGGAGGGATTTTGGCCCACTCCTCCACACAGATCTTCTCTAGATCAGTCAGGTTTCTGGGCTGTCGCTGAGAAACACAGAGTTTGAGCTCCCTCCAACGATTCTCTATTGGGTTTAGGTCTGGAGACTGGCTAGGCCACGCCAGAACCTTGATATGCTTCTTACAGAGCCACTCCTTGGTTATCCTGGGTGTGTGCTTCAGGTCATTGTCATGTTGGAAGACCCAGCCTCGACCCATCTTCAATGCCCTAACTGAGGGAAGGAGGTTGTTCCCCAAAATCTCGCAATACATGGCCCCGGTCATCCTCTCCTTAATACAGTGCAGTCGCCCTGTCCCATGTGCAGAAAAACACCCCCAAAGCCTGTTGCTACCACCCCCATGCTTCACAGTAGGTGTCAAGTCCTACTCTTTTTCGACTTCCAAAGGACACCTCAAATTTCCGACTCAATCACTTTTATTTTTATTTTGGTTTGTCAGTTGTTTGTGCTGTTCAGCAAATTAGGTTGTAAACCTTTAAAGACAGAGAACAAAAGTTACAATTTTATTCAAACATTTTAATCAAACATTAATGCTTTTTAAATTAATTAACCACAAGAAAAATGATTTCATTAATCAAATTTTACCACTTTTAACTTTATACCATCCTATTTTATCTTATACTCTTAATTTTTTTCAAACTCAATGTAATATTATTTTAGCACAAACACAAAATAAATGAAGGAAATGCTGCAATGTGTTACTTAACATCTACACAGCAGTTAAACATAGCTCAAACATATTAAGCACAAACACCATGAAAGTAAATAAACATATTACAGACCATTGGCGTCTTTGGACTGCACCTACGAGTGAACTTGGAACCTCTTCTCTCTGAAGTTTGTTTTTTTCTGACTGACTGAGAACCTCCATGCTTTTTCAGGTGCTCCAAATCAGTGACAATTATAATCAGGTGACAAGCAGCTGGTTTGCTGCTGCTGGTGCACTCTGGGAAGTGAAGTTCTTTCATAATCACTCCTGAGATTCAGCTCAACACCTCCCACTTGAGCTCCTGGTTTTTTCAAATCCAGAGGTCACACAAGCCCTTCACACCTCTGCTTGTTCTTCAGTGGGAAGTAGAATGACAAGGCGTCTGACATCCCTATGAAGAATTGTGGCTGGGATTTTGGTTTGAAGCTTCTTAGTTCTTCCACTGTTAGCTCTTGTGATGTGAACAGGATAGCTAGGAAAAGTTTTTACAAATGCATCTCTTACAATGCCTTTGCTGTCAGCATTTACACTGACCACTCTAGCCAGCTTGTACTGTCCCCTCAGGGCGTTTTGATCAGCCACCCAGACCACATCTCCAACAGCAACATTTCGCTCTTTGGTGTGCCATTTGCTTCTTATGAACAGATTAGGTCCAGCCAATTGGCTCCACTTCTTCCAGAAATTGCTTACCTCTGCTTGAATGTGTTTAAGCCTTTTGTAAGGGTAGCCATTAAACTGGAAATCTCCAGGGTCTCCCTTTGCATTGGCACGTCCTAAAAGCAGAGAATTTGGGGTGATGTACTCTACACAGTCTTCTCTGCTTTGAGTTCTTGCATCGATGGGTCTCTCATTTGCAAGGTTGGCTGCCATGAAGAGAAAAGTTTGAAATTCTCCCCATGTGAAAACAGCATCTCCACCAAGGTTGCTCAACGCCTGCTTCACTACTTTGACTGCTGCCTCTGCTGCACCATTCCTATGGGGAGAGTCTGCAGGGTGGATCTTCCACGACCATTCTGTACCATTCTTGGCAGCTGTATCTTCAAGTTCAGACTTGTCTAGTCGGTTTAGGAATCTATGAAGCTTCTCCAGTGCAGGTCTGGCTCCCACAAAGTTAGTGCCAGGGTCTGACCAGAGTTTCCTGGGGTGTCCTCTCAGTGAAGTGAACCTTTGATAGGCTAGCAGGAATCCTTCAGATGACATGTCACTCACCACTTCAGTGTGTATGGCTCGGGAAGCCATGCAGCAGAAGACTATTCCCCATACTTTGAGTCTAGTTCTCTTCTTTACCTCATCTTTCACTTCATAAGGGCCGAACAAGTCCATGGTGGTGAATTCAAAAGGTGCAGCTGGGCCTGTTCGCTCTAGAGGCAGGTCAGCCATGATTTGTTGACACTGTTTTGCCTTGTTTTTCCTGCAGACCACACAGCTGTCAACTATTTTCTTGGCAAGTCTACGGCCTTTTATTACCCAGGCTTTCTTCCTCATCCGGAGAAGGGTTCCTGCCACTCCCTCGTGGTTTGCTTTGTGGGATTCTTGTGCCAGCAGTGTGGACACCCATGCTTCAAATGGTAAAACTGGCACTGCTGTCTTATCTTCATTGAACGTCTGAATTCTGCCTCCACAAACTAGCAGTCCAGAGTTCACATCTTTGTATACTACCAGTCTGTTCAGAGTTGTGTCTGAAAAAACTGTACCTTTTTGAGCTGCGAGGAAGAGGTCTTTGAGCGCATCTTCGTGTTCTTTGATAGTCAGCACAGCTTGCTTGGGTGATTTTACCTCCCACTTTAACTGTTTAAGGGCCCGGCACTTCCTCTTCAGCCACTGCTTGGCAGCTAGACAAACCCAGGCAACGACTCTCACCAGTTTGAACAGGCTACTGAATCTTCTTACTTCCACAAGGTCTTTAACCCAGCCAGTGGGCTTCCTTCCTAGAAGAAGAGTTGGGTTTACCACAGGTATTCCCTCTTGAGCTTCACTCTTTGGACTTTCCTGGGTGCCTTGTAGGTCTTCTTTCTGCTGACTCCTTGCTTGAGCTCTTGTTAATGCACCTGTGAATGCCTTCCTCTGGAGCTTGTTTACACTTTCTCTGGCTTGAGCTGCAACCTCTCCAGCTGATTTTATAGGCCATTTCTCCACGGGCCACTTCAGGAACTCTGGTCCATTTTGCCATATGGAATTCTCCTTCAAATCTCCAGGAGCGCCCCCTCTTGTTATGATGTCAGCTATGTTTAGATCTCCACGGATCCACCACCAGTCTTGCACTAGTCCAGCCTTCTGGATTTCACCCACTCTATTTGCAAAGAAGGTTTTGTACCCATAACTGGCTCTTTGAATGGCTCCCAAGACTGTTTGACTGTCAAGTAGATGGAACCATCTCTCGATCTTCATTCGTGCATGCTTTTCCACATACTTCCTGATCCTGGCTGCAAAAACAGCCCCACAGATCTCAGCTTTTACAGCTTCTCCCTTTTGATCCAGGGGTGTCAGTTTGGCTTTTGATTCAACGAATCGAACTACAGTGCCTTGACTTGTCTCCCATCTTAAGTACATCACAGCTCCATAGGTTTTGTCACTTCCATCAGAGAATGTGATGCCCCAAGGTTTCCCTTTCCAGCCAGCTGGTGTGAGGCTCCTGTGGAATCTCATCTGTCCAAGCTGCACATATTCTTCAAAAAGTTGTATGGCTTCTTCTCTGAGGCTTTCTGAGAGAGGTTGGTCCCAGGTATCTTGGGTTAGTTTCCCACCCCCTCCCTCTTGGAATGCTTTTCTAACAAGAATTGCTCCCTTCTGTTTGGCAGGTGTAACTAAGCCAATTGGGTCGTACAGTCCAGCCACTTGGCTTAAGAGAGCCCTCCTAGTCAGAGGATTAGGTGTCCCAGTTCTCACCTCCTCCTTGAGAAGATCTTTTCCAACTCTCATTTTCTTCTTCCTTTTGGAAAAGTTAACTGAGGTTAACATGTAGAGCTTGTCTTCATCCATTTGGTAGCCAATACCCAAGGCTTTGTTGTCTTCGTCCTTCATTTGATTTTGAAGAATTAAGGTTTTACATTGTGTCTCTGTTAGAACCTCAGTCTCCATTCCTTGCCTCCCACTTTGCCCTGACCGGACCCATGGTTTGAGGAAGAAACCTCCAGCTTTCAAGATCTCTTCAACATTTGCTGTGATTTTGTCAAGTTTATTTAGGTCATCTTGGGAGGTTAAGAGGTCATCCACATAACTGTCCTCTTCAATGACTCTGCGCTCTTCCTCCAAGTGAAGAAAGTTGGGCAGGCGTGCTGTTTCCCTCATAGCCAGCTGAGCAATGCAACCAGCAGGTCTGTCCCCAATGTTGACTCTGGTAACTGCATATTCACTTATCTCTTCATCTGGGCTGTCCCTCCAGAGGAACCTGTGAAGATGCATCTCACGCTCCTCCAACCATACAGAGTTGTACATCTTTCTGATGTCTCCTAGAGATGCATACGTCCCTTCTCTGAACCTCAGCAGGACAGCTCTGATAGGGTTGAGAACGTCTGGTCCCTTCAGAAGAAGATCATTCATACTCACGCCTTTGTATTTCTGGCTACTATTCCATACAGTACGAACTGGTGTTGTCACCGAATGAGGGTTTGGCGCCACCAGGTGGCTTACGTACCACACTGGTCCGTTCCACTCATCCATGATTTTGTTGGTGAGTTTTATGGCTGCGCCTCGTTCGACCATTTCATGGATCTGGGTAGCATATGCGACTTTCCAGTCTGGCTCTCTGCTTAGTTGCTTTTCCATCCTTAAGAAACAAGCCTGGACTGCACCTTTGTTGTTTGGGAGAGAGGCTGGATCTACTGTCCAAGGATACTTTGCATCCCAATGTGGAGCTGGTGTGTGAGAATCCCCCTTCTTATAGGTGAGGCCTCCTTCAATGATCTCCAGCTCCCTCTCTTCTGCCAGGGTCATTTCTTTTCCTCCTGGTGGACAGTTTCCACATCGGCATCCTCCACATCTTGGCTCACATGCAGCCCCGATGCTGTCCCAGTGCCACCACTCAAGGAACTCACGGTTACTGGCAGCTGTAAATTTGGTCTGAGCCACATCCACCTGCTGTAACTGGGCTGTGTCCGTTGTTGGACTTGAGATTTCTTGATATTTAACTGCTGCTGTCCTCATGGAACGAGCGAAGTGTGTTTTGGACTCATATACTGCAACCTCCACTTCTTCAAATAAGTCGGCATGTGCTCCACCCACTGTCTTCCCCAATGGTCCCTCCCACAAGACGAGGTCTCCGATGATTTTTATCCTCTGAGGAGCGAGTCTTCCCTCTCGGTGGCTAATGAGAAGTTCAACCTCTTCTGGCCTTTCCAATTCTTTAAGTTTGACTTCTGGGAAGAATTTTCTCAACTTCTCAGGTTCAATTACTCGATGCACTCTGGCAATTTCGTCCAAGCCGTAGCAGACCATTTTATGAGCGCTCTCCGTTCCTTTAGGTGTCTTGACTCTGACTTTGAGTAGATACCTTTGTGTGTTCACCTCCATGGTCATACCACCAACCCCATGCACAACTAAAGTTATCTTCCCATGTCTTAACCTCAGACTTTCAGCAGCCTTATGGGTAATGTAGTTTGTGTCTGAAGCAAGGTCAATTAAAGTCCCAATCTTCTGCCCTGCGTTTGCAGTGACTTGCATCAGCATCATGATGACAGGAAGTTCAGAGAGCCCATTCCTCTGCAGTAGCTCAGACTGGTCTGAAGCATCGAGTGTCACTGCGGTTTTGTTGGTGTTGGTGAAAGCCTTTCTGCATCGATCTGCCATTTTTGGGGAGAGTTCAGACAAGATTTCCTCCTGTTCCTCCGTTAGTTTGCTTTTACCTTTGCCGTCTCTTCCACTCAATCTCTCTTCCCCTCTTTTGACTTCTTTTGGGCAGAGGAAAAAATGGTGGTCTGGGGCACCACCTTCCCTTTTACAGTCTTTATTTCTGCATAGGAAAGTGTCACTGCAGTAACCATCCTTCTCATGGCATCCGAGACATTTTCTGCATGCTCCCAGTTTTCTCAATACAGCTGTCTTTTCAGGTAGCTTAAGTTTTTTGAACTTTCTACAGAAGAAGATTTTGTTGTTGTGCCCACTATCACCACAGACACCACATACCTCATCAAGCTCTTCTTTCTTTGTGTTTTTTGTTGAGGCAATCCTTCTGTCATACCTCTTTTCTGATCGATCTGATTTTTCCACCTTTTCCACAGTTCTGAGCTGTTCAAGTCTCTCTAGTATCTCTTCTTGGCTTTTCAGGAACTTCAAGAGCATGATAAAGTGGTTGTCTGGTGTGACATTGTTTCTGGGCTCAACCATGAACATCACCCAATCTCTCTTAATAAAGTCAGGCAACTTGCTTTCAATAGTTTTAATTACCAGTGGGTTATTTATGGCTCCTGAGTTTCCTAACTCTGTGAGATCCGCTAGGGCCTTCTCTACTGACTGTATGAGGTCAATTAACTTTCTTGGCTGGTTCCCTTTCACATGTGGCATCTTCTCCAGCTCTTCAAGGATTTCCACTGTGATAGTTGACTTATTTCCATATCTGTTCTCCAGGACTCTGAACATGTCATTGGCAGTGGTGTAGGTTGAAAGTCTGAGATCTTTTGAGATTTTGTCATCCACACTCTCCAAGAGTTGAATTTTCTTAACTTCAGTTGAACCGGATGGCTCTCCCTGCTTTTGCAGGCTTTCCCAGTCTTTCCTCCATCTGTGATATTCTCTCTTGCTTCCATTGAAGATAGGTAGAGAGGTTGGCTTGATTCTCACTATTGGTGTGGATGTTGCCGGTTGGGGTAGTCTCGCTCCTGTGCCTTGCCCATTGATCGTCCGTACAGTGGCAAATTCAGCTTTCCTTAACTCAAGCCTGTAGTAAGATGCTCTTACGTCCTTGACTCTTCCATCTAATTCATCCTTTAATTCTACAGGGATCCATCTCTCCCATGTTGACATTGCTGAGATGGCCTCTTTTATTCTCTTGTCCAAGAGAGCGAGGTGCACTTCATAGCCCTCTAAATTGGCACTTTCCACAGGTACATCAGCTGCTTTATCATTGGCTTTCTCTGCTTCCAGGATTGCCTCAAGAAGTTCATTCCTTCCATACCTCGACCACAGGTTTGTTTGAACAATGCCTCTTACTTCCATCAACTTTGTCTCACCTTCAATTACAGATTTGTCAATGTCAGCCTCTTGCTGTTCATCAAGACTTGCTTCCTTATCCTCAATCTTAATGTCAGCCTCCAGTCCAATCCTGTAGTCATCGAGCATCTTTCTGAAACAGTCTGAAAGCTTTGTGAATTCCTCCTTTAACTCCATTTGAAGCATGCTGCTTGCTCCTCTTGAAATGAAGTTGGCTTGTCTGGTGAAGCTGCTTTTTGCAGTGGTCCTCTCCTTTTTGAGTTGCTGGACCGACTTCCCCAGGACATCTTCCGCCATCTTGACTTCCTCTGCGTCAACAGCTTATTTCTGGACCTGAAGCCGTTTATCCTCAGGGCCAGGCCGCTCCGCGTGGTTTACAACTGTCAAGTCCTACTCTTTTTCGACTTCCAAAGGACACAAGGACAACTCAAATTTCCGACTCAATCACTTTTCTTTTTCTTTTGGTTTGTCAGTTGATTGTGCTGTTCAGCAAATTAGGTTGTAAACCTTTAAAGACAGAGAACAAAAGTTACAATTTTATTCAAACATTTTAATCAAACATTAATGCTTTTTAAATTAATTAACCACTTAAGCCTTTTAGATGGAATAAAGAAAAATGATTTCATTAATCAAATTTTACCACTTTTAACTTTATACCATCCTTTTTTATCTTATACTCTTAATTTTTTTCAAACTCAATGTAATATTATTTTAGCACAAACACAAAATAAATGAAGGAAATGCTGCAATGTGTTACTTAACATCTACACAGCAGTTAAACATAGCTCAAACATATTAAGCACAAACACCATGAAAGTAAATAAACATATTACAGACCATTGGCGTCTTTGGACTGCACCTACGAGTGAACTTGGAGCCTCTTCTCTCTGAAGTTTTTTTTTTTCTGACTGACTGAGAACCTCCATGCTTTTTCAGGTGCTCCAAATCAGTGACAATTATAATCAGGTGACAAGCAGCCGGTTTTCTGCTGCTGGTGCACTCTGGGAAGTGAAGTTCTTTCATAATCACTCCTGAGATTCAGCTCAACAGTAGGGATGGTGTTCTTGGGATGGTACTCATCATTCTTCTTCCTCCAAACACGGCGAGTGGAATTATGACCAAAAAGTTCTATTTTGGTCTCATCTGACCACATGACTTTCTCCCATGACTCCTCTGGATCATCCAAATGGTCATTGGCAAACTTTAGACGGGACTTGACATGTGCTGGTTTAAGCAGGGGAACCTTCCGTGCCATGCATGATTTCAAACCATGACGTCTTAGTGTATTACCAACAGTAACCTTGGAAACAGTGGTCCCAGCTCTTTTCAGGTCATTGACCAGCTCCTCCCGTGTAGTTCTGGGCTGATTTCTCACCTTTCTTAGGATCATTGAGACCCCACGAGGTGAGATCTTGCATGGAGCCCCAGTCCGAGGGAGATTGACAGTCATGTTTAGCTTCTTCCATTTTCTAATGATTGCTCCAACAGTGGACCTTTTTTCACCAAGCTGCTTGGCAATTTCACCGTAGCCCTTTCCAGCCTTGTGGAGGTGTACAATTTTGTCTCTAGTGTCTTTGGACAGCCGTTTGGTCTTGGCCATGTTAGTAGTTGGATTCTTACTGATTGTATAGGGTGGACAGGTGTCTTTATGCAGCGAACGACCTCAAACAGGTGCATCTAATTTAGGATAATAAATGGAGTGGAGGTGGACATTTTAAAGGCAGGTGAATTCTAGCTGATAGACAGGTGTTCAAATACTTATTTGCAGCTGTATCATACAAATAAATAGTTAAAATCATATATTGTGATTTCTGGATTTTTTTTTTTAGATTATGTCTCTCACAGTGGACATGCACCTACGATGACAATTTCAGACCCCTCCATGATTTCTAAGTGGGAGAACTTGCAAAATAGCAGGGTGTTCAAATACTTATTTTCCTCACTGTATTTTTAGCCGCCATTACTCTAATCTTCAGTGTCACATGATCCTTCAGAAATCATTATAATATGCTGATTTGCTTCTTAAGAAACATGTATTATTGTCACAGTTCAAAATGGCTGTGCTGCTTGATATTAAATTGATTTATTTTTTATTTTTTTATCTTTAATGAAAAAAAAGTTCAAAAGAACAACAATTGAACAGATGTCTTGTAATAATGTAAAAGTCTTTACTGTAACTTTTGATCTATTTAATGCACCCTTGCTGAATATAATTTCCCTTTTTTTTTTATCTGACTATACTGCCAAAAAAGATAATGGTCCCACCATGTTCTTGCTCCAGCGGCTCTACAGTGTATCCAAACCCAAGAAGGGTACCCAGAGTGTCCCTCGTGGCATCTCTACCCGCCTGTTTGTACTTTTCATCCAACAGGGAAAATGGCACTAGTTGGGTACTTCTCTTACACTTAACATCCTGAAACAAAGAGATAGAGTAAAAAGCTACAGTATTTCCAAATCAAATACAATGAAAAAAGGAAAACCCAAGTTGGAGATATACCACTTACAAGTACTACATATGGACACATTTGGCATTTTCATTCCAATTCTCAAGATCACATTTATATTGTATGTTTTCAATAAAAGACTAATTTCCACCTGCTGTGGTCCAAAGCTCCAGCCCTGCCTGATACGCTCTCTGGCCCAGATGTTGTGTTCATTCTCAGCCAGTTTTTCCACCAGCTCTTCCTGAGAAGCTGTTAGCACAACACAGGACTGATCCACAGGGGTTGGTTTATATCCGTTCCATAGCTCATACCTGGACAGGTGATGCAATTAGGATTCATTTAACAAGGATGATGTAATTAGGACTAATTTAAAAAGCACTTTTCACTGTTGCATTGTTAACTGGAAAATTTAATTGTCTTGGTATTGAGGAATTTTATCTTGATATACTTATTTGAAAGGCGAACATATTTCACATTCTCCTCTGCATGTTCATCAGAGAGTCCAATGTGGACACCAAAAGCCAAAAGAGTCCTTCCACAACACAAAAGGAAGCATGATTAATAACGGAGAGCTAATTAACAGTATATTAGGCACAATAATCCATGACATACCTGAGGATCTCCTCAGATGACTGAAGGTTATGAATTCGCTCCTGATCTGGAAGTCTGGAAAACTCGACTAGACACGAGTGTACTTTTTTGCTCTCATCTTTAACCTAGGAGAAGAGATGCAGTTTTTAATATACTCCAGAATGATAAGGAGCAACTGAATGGATGTTACTTAGGGAGTTTCCAAACTATAGATTGTTTACTTTGTTCCGAAACAAGGACTTAAATTGTTACAATAGCCAAACTGTTGCTTAACCGTTCCATTCTGCATACCATATATATATATACAATCACCGGCCACTTTATTAGGTACACCTGTCCAACTGCTCGTTAACACTTAATTTCTAAGCAGCCAATCACATGGCGGCAACTCAGTGCATTTAGGCATGTAGACATGGTCAAGACAATCTCCTGCAGTTCAAACCGAGCATCAGTATGGGGAAGAAAGTTGATTTGAGTGACTTTGAACGTGGCATGATTGTTGGTGCCAGAAGGGCTGGTCTGAGTATTTCAGAAACTGCTAATCTACTGGGATTTTTACACACAACCATCTCTAGGGTTTACAGAGAATGGTCCGAAAAAGAAAAAACATCCAGTGAGCGGCAGTTCTGTGGGCGGAAATGCCTTGTTGATGCCAGAGGTCAGAGGAGAATGGCCAGACTGGTTCGAGCTGATAGAAGGGCAACAGTGACTGAAATAACCACTCGTTACAACCGAGGTATGCAGCAAAGCATTTGTGAAGCCACAACACGCACAACCTTGAGGCGGATGGGCTACAACAGCAGAAGACTCCACCGGGTACCACTCATCTCCACTACAAATAGGAAAAAGAGGCTACAATTTGCAAGAGCTCACCAAAATTGAACAGTTGAAGACTGGAAAAATGTTGCCTGGTCTGATGAGTCTCGATTTCTGTTGAGACATTCAGATGTTAGAGTCAGAATTTGGCGTAAACAGAATGAGAACATGGAACCATCATGCCTTGTTACCACTGTGCAGGCTGGTGGTGGTGGTGTAATGGTGTGGGGGATGTTTTCCTGGCACACTTTAGGCCCCTTAGTGCCAATTGGGCATCGTTTAAATGCCACGGCCTACCTGAGCATTGTTTCTGACCATGTCCATCCCTTTATGGCCACCATGTACCCATCCTCTGATGGCTACTTCCACCATGTCACAAAGCTCTAATCATTTCAAATTGGTTTCTTGAACATGACAATGAGTTCACTGTACTAAAATGGCCTCCACAGTCACCAGATCTCAACCCAATAGAGCATCTTTGGGATGTGGTGGAACGGGAGATTCGCATCATGGATGTGCAGCCGACAAATCTGCGGCAACTGTGTGATGCCATCATGTCAATATGGACCAAACTCCCTGAGGAATGCTTCCAGCACCTTGTTGAATCTATGCCACGAAGAATTGAGGCAGTTCTGAAGGCAAAAGGGGGTCCAACCCGTTACTAGCATGGGGTACCTAATAAAGTGGCCGGTGAGTGTATATATATATATATATATATATATATAGTTATTTATACACCAGTTAGAGTGGCAATCAAGACTTTGTTGGGACAGCATGTCCTGTTTCGAAGAAGTGCAATTTTGAGATGAAGAGGCGTTTGGTTTTCAACTGCGATAACGTCTCAGGTTACGACTGTAACCGTAGTTCCCTGAGAAAGGGAACGAGACGATGCGTCACTTGACGCCTTGGGAACGCCCCCAGCGTGAATGCGTCTGAGCATCAATGTCAACTAGTCCAATGGAAAGAATGAGCGTCACGGGCGGGTGACGTCATGACCAGGAAGGGATAAAGGCTCACCCGGTGAAACGCGGCATTAGCTTCAAAAAGTCGAAGCAAGCCGATCACAGGGAAGCAGGAAGTATGGCAGGGTGACGCATCGTCTCGTTCCCTTTCTCAGGGAACTACGGTTACAGTCGTAACCTGAGACGTTCCCTTTCGAGGGAACTCTCGATGCGTCACTTGACGCCTTGGGAACGAGAATACCCAAAACGCCAGAATTCCAAGTACCTGAGTGTTAGTCTGTTGGAACTAAGCACTAAGCACCTGAGAACCTGGGGCAGCATCCAGGTCCAAACTGTAAAACCTGACGAACGTGAGCGGTGAGGACCAGCCTGCCGCATCACATACGTCTTGAAGAGAAACTCCAAATAATAAGGCTTTAGAGGCCGCCATACCCCTCGTAGAGTGAGCTCTGACCACCAAAGGACACGGCTGGTCAGAGTACTCGTATGCAAGTGAAATAGCCTCAACTATCCACTTACTAACCGTCTGTTTAGAAGCAGGAAGACCCTTCTTAGGTGATCCAAAGCAAATAAATAACTGGTCGGACTTCCTCATAGACGATGTCCGATGAACATAAGTATCCAGTGCTCGCACTGGACACAAGAGGTTCAGCCTTTCCTGGTCCGCAGATGTAAAAGGAGGACAGAAACCTGCAGCACAATAGGCCTCGGAATAATGGTAGGCACCTTTGGAACATATCCATGTTTCGGGTAAGAATGCCTTGGCCATCCCCGGTGCACTCAAGGCAGGTGGGGACCGAAAGGGCCTGAAGGTCTGACTCTAATAGGGACGAAATAGCTAGCAGAAAATAGTCTTAAAAGAAAGGAACTTCTCTGAGACCAAATCTAAGGGCTCGAAGGGAGCCCCAGATAGGCCTTCTAGAACTATTGCAAGGTCCCAAGCCAGCACCCTAGTGCAAGTTGCAGGCCTCAGCCTCAAAGTGCCACGAAGGAAACGAGTGATCAGGGGGTCTCGACCCAAAAATGTACTACCCACCAGGGCGTGGAAAGCCGCAATGGCCGCCACGTATACCTAAAGCGTGGAAGGACATAGACCTGATACAAAGCGTTCTTGCAGAAACTCGAATACTGTGTTTACTGAACAGTTAACCGGATCCCACTGACGCTGGTAACACCAAGAAGTGAAAAACTCTCGAAATAGTGAATATAGTTTCCTCGTAGCGGGAGCTCTGGAGCTTAGAACGGTCTCAACAACCTCGGTTGAGAGACCACTCTCTATGAGTTGGGCCCCCTCAGAGGCCAAACCCACAGTTTCCAAATCCCCTGCCGGGGGTGCAATATTGCATCCCCTGCCTGAGACGGAAGGTCTCTCCTGATCGGGACCTCCAAGGGAGGTCCGTCGAGGAGAAAAATTAGGTCCGCAAACCAAATTCAGCTCGGCCAGGGTGGTGCTACTAAATAGGCTGATTCCATCCTGGCGGAATCACTCCAGAACTCCTGGGAGCAGAGCAACAGGGGGAAATGCGTACAGACGTAGCCTCAGCCACGTCTGCACCATAGCAACCAGCCCCGTGGGGACTGGTTGAGTGAGGGATAACCAGAGTGGACAGTGCGTCGTACTTTTGCTGAGACGAGAACAAATCCACTTCTGCCTGGCCATAAAACTCCCATATTTGCTCCACCGCCTCGGGGTGGAGTCCCCTGGCCTCAGCCCCTGCCTCGACAGGGTGTCTGCTCCAATATTCTGCCCCCCCTGGAATATACACTGCCCTCAGACAGCGTAATTTCCTGAGGGACCAAAATAATAGGCCACCAACGTGTTGTCTGTGGGTCAAGAACCAGAGTTTCCTCCATATAACCAAGGCGCGGGGATACTGCCGCGTGATCTTGATCGTACGGAGTGGGTTTCCCCTCAGGGAGAACCCTCTGGTCCTGAGCCACCACTGTAAAGGTCTCACGTACAGCAGGTCAAAGGGTATCACATTGAACGCTGCTGCCCTGAGGCCTAACAGTCACTGTTTCAGAACAACACATGATGGCCCCTCAGGTCTGGGAGGAGATGTCTCAACGCATTGAAGACGACCACCATCTCTAGGCAATTCATGTGCCAAGCGAGATGATGACTCCTCCCAAGCCCTGAGCTGAGCGGCCTTCCAATACCGCTCCCCAGCCGGTGAGGGAAGCATCTGTCGAGATAGCAACTCGATGGCAAAGAGCTCCCAACACCGAACCCTGGGTTAAGAACCAGTGTTTCCTCCATATAACAAAGGCACGAAGGCACGGCCGCGTGATCTTGATCATACGAAGTGGGTTTCCCCTCGGGGAGAACCCTCTGGTCCTGCGCCACCACTCCAAAGGTCTCATGTACAGCAGGCCAAAAGGTATCCCGTTGGACGCTACTGCCACAAGACCCAACAGTCTCTCGAACTGTTTTACAGTGCGTGACTGGCCTAGCTTTAGCTCTATGGTGGCTGTCAGGATAGCAGCTACACGAACGGGCGATAAAGTGGCCCGCATCGTCACTGAATCCCATACCACACCAAGGAAAGTGGTTCTCTGTACTGGAGAAAGAACACTCTTCTTGGCATTGAGCCTCAACCCCAACATCTGCATATGAGCGAGAACGACACCTCGGTGCCGAACCGCTAACTGTTCTGATTCCGCTAGAATCAGCCAGTCATCTATGCAATTCAGAATGCGTATACACTGCAGCCTGGCGGGGCCAGAGCTGCGTCTATACACTTCGTGAACGTGCGGGGTGATAGAGCTAGACCGAAAGGAAGTGCCTGATACTGGTGTTCTTTGCCCCAAAGAAAACCTCAGGAACCTCCTGTGCTGAGGGAGGACGGGGATATGGAAGTATACGTCTTTTAGATCTATCGTGACAAACCAGTCCTCGGATCTGATTTGAGTCACGATCTGTTTGAGTGTCAGCATCTTGGACTTGAGTTCCAGCACCAAACACTCCAACAGACGAAGATCTAGTATGTGACGCTGCTCTCCATCCTTTTTTGGAACAATGAGATAACGACTGTAAAGACCCGACGCAATGTCGGGTGAGTACACCTGCTCTATAGCTTTCTTTGCTAACAGGGCCTTTACCCCTTGCTCCATTACCAGAGAGATTACCATTACCCATAGAGATATATTTGGCAGTAGCTTCCGCGCTGCCAGAAAACCTACCAAGGGAACCAGCCCCTCGAGGCTGGCCTCTGGTGTAATAAAGACAGCCAGTTCGGGGACCTGAAACATACTGGCAGGAACCACCCGAACTGACTGTTTTCGAACCCCCCTCAGAGGGCGCGAGTCCGACGCAATGTCGAGTTGACGCTGCGCCAGAAGCTCGCTGGAGAACGCTGCGCCCCGAAGCACCAAGGGTGGCGGGGTTGGCAGAACGGTCCCCTGAGGGCACAGAGATGGAAAGGGCACCGTATAATGAGGTGTACACCATTCCACCCCGGTTGGGGCTGCCCTCACCGGTCTGACGCCGTGGCGCCAGACCTTTTCTTTTGAGCCGCAGCCTTCTCAGCATGAAGAACGGTCCTCGGATCCGGCTTCTGCTTTGAAGGCTTTGGCTGCTGTGTTGTGTATGAGAAACTAGCCGGCTGGAGCTGCTCACGCCCAGCAGCCCCAGTGGGTTGGACATAGCGAGGGAGAGATTATCTTGTATCTTTCTCCATGATTCCCATCAAATTGAGCCAGAGGTGTCTCTCAGGGACCACATTTCTTTGGCTGCCATCCCTGAGAGATAAATCTGAGGCCCGACGGAGTTCTCAAACCCCATCGGGCCAACTCCCTCACTTCTGTCCAAATACCACAGCAGGTCAGCCTGATATGCTTGCAGCACTGCTATAGTGTGCAAGCAGGCTCGTGCTAGACCCACTGTCATATATGCTTTTCCCACTAGATTAAAAAATAGTTTTCTTTAATGGTTCAGTGAGAGAAGCCGACGCCTTCAGGGACGATACTGAACCGGGAGACATAGCTCGCAAGTGTCTGTTCTACCCGGGGTATTGCCCCATAGCCATACTCTCTTAACCCCCAAATATCTGAATATACATGAATGTGGGGCTAAAAAATGAGTAAGGCTTTTTCCATGATCTAGACAGCTCGCTGTGCAGATCGGGAAAAATGGAAGGCCCCGTGATGGAGGTGGAAAAATAGAGGGAAGGAAACTCGTTCAATTTATTTTAAGGACGAGTGCCCCCTTATTTCTGCTGGCCATTAAATATTTAATTCATCTACAGCCTCAGTAAACACCTCCACCAGCTTATTATTATATATATACACTCACCGGCCACTTTATTAGGTACACCTGTCCAACTGCTCGTTAACACTTAATTTCTAAGCAGCCAATCACATGGCGGCAACTCAGTGCATTTAGGCATGTAGACATGGTCAAGACAATCTCCTGCAGTTCAAACCGAGCATCAGTATGGGGAAGAAAGTTGATTTGAGTGACTTTGAACGTGGCATGATTGTTGGTGCCAGAAGGGCTGGTCTGAGTATTTCAGAAACTGCTAATCTACTGGGATTTTCACGCACAACCATCTCTAGGGTTTACAGAGAATGGTCCGAAAAAGAAAAAACATCCAGTGAGCGGCAGTTCTGTGGGCGGAAATGCCTTGTTGATGCCAGAGGTCAGAGGAGAATGGCCAGACTGGTTCGAGCTGATAGAAGGGCAACAGTGACTGAAATAACCACTCGTTACAACCGAGGTATGCAGCAAAGCATTTGTGAAGCCACAACACGCACAACCTTGAGGCGGATGGGCTACAACAGCAGAAGACCCCACCGGGTACCACTCATCTCCACTACAAATAGGAAAAAGAGGCTACAATTTGCAAGAGCTCACCAAAATTGAACAGTTGAAGACTGGAAAAATGTTGCCTGGTCTGATGAGTCTCGATTTCTGTTGAGACATTCAGATGTTAGATTCAGAATTTGGCGTAAACAGAATGAGAACATGGAACCATCATGCCTTGTTACCACTGTGCAGGCTGGTGGTGGTGGTGTAATGGTGTGGGGGATGTTTTCCTGGCACACTTTAGGCCCCTTAGTGCCAATTGGGCATCGTTTAAATGCCACGGCCTACCTGAGCATTGTTTCTGACCATGTCCATCCCTTTATGGCCACCATGTACCCATCCTCTGATGGCTACTTCCACCATGTCACAAAGCTCTAATCATTTCAAATTGGTTTCTTGAACATGACAATGAGTTCACTGTACTAAAATGGCCTCCACAGTCACCAGATCTCAACCCAATAGAGCATCTTTGGGATGTGGTGGAACGGGAGATTCGCATCATGGATGTGCAGCCGACAAATCTGCGGCAACTGTGTGATGCCATCATGTCAATATGGACCAAACTCCCTGAGGAATGCTTCCAGCACCTTGTTGAATCTATGCCACGAAGAATTGAGGCAGTTCTGAAGGCAAAAGGGGGTCCAACCCGTTACTAGCATGGGGTACCTAATAAAGTGGCCGGTGAGTGTATATTTTTTATATACATTCTTTATATATATACACTTTATTTTATATATAATATATAAACTATCATATATATATATATATATATATATATAGGCTATATATAATTCTCATACGCTGGGGAAGAGATGGCAAATCCACTTCCCCCATGATTGTGTACACTTTCAATGCCCAGCACATCTACCTCCTCGGAGGTAGAGCACTGAAGCATTGATTTCTCTCCCCGGGCGGAAGAGACCGCAGCGCGGGCTTCCGAGACCGGAGAGAGAGCACTGGATCCCTCGTGGAAAGGGAGGAGATAAGATCCGCGGACCCGTCTCCAACCCCGTAACGAGATCCTATTCGCGATCCACAGGAATGCATTCTCCGCGCTGCCTCGGCAGACGCGTGTCCTGCACCCCGAGGATCGCGAGCCTGGCCACTTTCCTCGAAAAGTGACAGGCGGGAGTGGAGCATGCGAAGCGAAAGCTTCTCACAATGTTGCAATCAGCCCCCTCGGAGGCTGATACCGCATGCTCCACTCCCAAACAAACTACACAAAGCTCGTGTGTGTCCCCACCCGTTAAATAACGCGGGCAGGGAGAAGCACAGAGTTTGTAAAGTTGTTTCGCCATAACTCTTCCCAATAATATCGAACAGACAACAATAAATAGACAGAGACAGAGTAACACAGATCGCTTGCTGAGACAGAAGCTAATGCCGCGTTTCACCGGGTGAGCCTTTATCCCTTCCTGGTCATGACGTCACCCGCCCGTGACGCTCATTCTTTCCATTGGACTAGTTGACATTGATGCTCAGACGCATTCACGCTGGGGGCGTTCCCAAGGCGTCAAGTGACGCATCGAGAGTTCCCTCGAAAGGGAACTACTGTGCTCAACCACAGAATCAGACACTGCTGCTTTTTATGCAACACATACACATTTCCCATTATGAATTGTGGGACCGATTGTTTTGGTGTAGATCCGAGCATATGCGTCAACGAACTGAACTAAGGGAGAAAACAGATCAGGTTCTGAAACAAAGATGTGAAAATGCCCTTAGATACTTACTGGTCCATAGTTCCACCCCTGCTCTATTTTGTCAATAAGCCAGAGTTCATGGAGATTTTCCGCTAATCTTTCCTTGATCTGCTCCAGCTGTGGAGGATATTCAACCTGACAAGATACAGAGTTGAGCGCAGGGGTGTCAGACACTCATACAAGTTGATGCAAGACAGATTGTGGCTTAAAATAACTGCTGTACTGATGCTAAATTTTAAATAATCAGCGCGTACTTAAAATTGAAAGTACCTGGCTGGAATCCACTGGAATGGGGGTAAAGGTCACTGGACTAATAGGTACTACAGGCCCTAAGAGGTCACGTTGGCTTTCAGTGTGATTTTGTGTGAGTTCCTGACACAGTTCCAGCTTGCAGCATGTTTTGGGGAGGAGAGCTTCAGCGCACGGAGAGAAACCAGCAGGAGGAAGAAACCTAAACTCCCCCTGTTGACCTCCAAACAGCACACGCACCCTGATGGGAAAATAAATTCAGACACTATTTAAGCAATCGAGGGTACGTCCTACAGGTCAACATTTAAATGGTTAGGTTGATCTAAAATAAAATGAAGTAGAACTCATTTTTCATTGTTTGCTGAATTGTGAACAATCAAACCTACAATTAACACAACACATAAAATCAAAAACCATAGAAGGCAACTCACTGCACTCCAGTTGAGAAGCTGACCACTGGGAACAGCAACCCATCCACTTTGAAGTTCTCCAGCATGCCTTGAACTGGCTGTCCATTGACCCGAAAGGAGATGCAGGTTGCACTAAGGTCAAGACAGCAACTAATGACATCATCCTCCCTTAGCAAGTGCTGATTGGGTGAGGTAACCCTCCGACCAACACCTCCTTGGAAAGAAAACACAAACAGTGTTTAGATTTCACTAGACTACATTTATTTGATAAATATACAGTAAAAAAAAATGCAAGAAAGTGACATATTACAATTAAAAATAACTCTTCATTTTTTTTTCTTTTTTAAAATGTAATGTATTCCTGTGATGCAAAGCTGAATTTTCAGCATCATTACACCATTCTACATTGCCACGTAGTGTACAAGCTTAGTTTCCATCTTACCTGTCCAGAGCTGGAGTCCATCAAAGCCATAAGAGCAGAGGTCGTCTCCAACACCGTTTGACCCCCAGCCGTGACCCCCTGTGGGGGAGGGATGGTACCCTTCAGTGCTGGCCCAACCCACTCGCAGGTGAGTAGGCTCTGCTGTCACAAAAGGTTCCACCTTCTCAACTACAACCTCATAATACCACTTCCTGTATTGGGCACAGTCATCTCTTGCACACAGGAAGATGTTTGGACGTGCACTAAACAGAGAAATATGTTCAATGAGATTTTATTTTTAACATTTATTCTCACTGTTTGGTCAATTTCTATATTATAACAGACTAAAATAATATTTTTAGATGTGCTAAAAACCTCAAAATGTGTAGGCGTTAAACTTAACAGTTAAGTTTATTGATAACAGGTCACCTGAAAACTTGGTTAACCAGTCTTGATTGTAGCAACAGGTCTCTTTCTGGCAGCAGTGTATCACAAATCAAATTCTGATTAGAGCGGACAGCCATGCCATGACACACACAGAGTGAGCACAACACGTCCAAGATCTGCAGATGCAGTAAACACAAACATGTTAAAAATAGTAAAATCCACAATCATTACAGAACACATAAATACACTACAGTTTGGAGTCAGTAAGTTTAAAAAAAAATGTTTTTATATACTTTTATTCAGCAAGGACACATTCAATTTATTAAAAGTGACAGTAAAGACATTTATAATATTACAAAAGTAATCCTGTTCTTTCAAACGTTATATATTTCACCAAACAATCCTGAAAAAAACATCAAGCAGCATAACTGTTTATTATCAGCTGATGAAAAATAAGCTTTGCCATCACGGGAATAAATTACATTTTAAACATGTAAAATCTATATTATATACAGAAATTAGTTATTTAAATTGTAAAAATGTTTCACAATATTACTGTTTCTACTGTATTTTTGATCAAATAAATTAAAAAAAACTTTCAAAAAGATCTTACAGACCCCAAACATGTAAATGGTAATGTACATTACCTTATGGTTCCTTCCATGTTTGTCCAGAAGTGAGATGATGGATTTTATGTGACTTTCCTTAATAACATTCAAAGCTTCAGGACTTTCTACTAAAACACAATGTAACACTTCCAATATTCCTAAAAAAAAAAAAAAAAAAAAAAAGGAGAAACGAGTAACAAATGAGGGGAGACTCGTTGTGACATCTAATCAACTTAGACATTCTAGTCAAAACACAAACTAAAATATAGCTGCGAGCAGCGATTACGGGCCCAAGCCGGTGGCACCGCAACCCCGGTGCCTTTAGTTACCTAAAGGCACCGGGGTGGCGGTACCACCGGCTTTGGCCCTTCATCGCTGCTCGCAGCTATATTTATATATATATATATATATATATATATATATATATATATATATATATATATATATATATAAAGCCGGTGGCACCGCCACCCTGGTGCCTTTAGGGTTATTGTGCACGACGTGCAAAAACGTAACCCTGCTTTGACTGTCGAAAAGAAGTGTGCTGTAGAGCTTGTATCAGTGTGGGCTCTGCAAAAGTGTGCATTGAGGGCACATATCAACCACAAAGTATGCGAGAGCAACCTTCTGAAAGGTCAGGTCTACATCCAGGTCTACATCTGCCGTGTGTTTACATCATAGTAGTGAAGTTTGAAGCAATCAGGTGATTTCAAAGCTTTTTGAAAGTGACAGACTTCCTGCTGCCAGTTGGTGGCGCTATAACCGGGGTGGCGGTGCCGCCGGCTTTGGCCCTTTCATCGCTGCTCGCAGCTATATTTATATATATACACACACAAACACACACACACACACACACACATATATATATATATATATATATACATAAATATATATATATTGTTTTTTTAAGAGACAAGACAGAATATTACTTGCCTGATCTGATTAGAAAAATAGTGTTTGTGTGTGTGTGTGTGTGTGTGTGTGTGTGTGTGTGTGTGTGTGTGTGTGTGTGTGTGTGTGTGTGTGTGTGTGTGTGTGTTTGTGTGTGTGTGTGTGTGTGTGGCGTAATTGAACAATGTAGACATAAAAACATACTCCGTCCTTTTGTTCATACAGGACATTATTCAAACTGCAAAGTGTTTACTTATATTTGTGTACACTTGCAATAAAACACAACATTGTGCTTTTGTCAAGCTATAAACTCTTGTCAAACTGTAAACTACAACTGTCACCCAACCAACATCTCTTACACACACACACACACACACACACACAGTTTAAAAGCAAAAAATATCAAACAATCCTATTTAAAAACAGTCTGTGGGAGCCATCTTTTGGACATTCATCATATCGCATTGGTTTTCATTTCTTGTCATCAAACAGAGCCCTAATCTGTTTATTTTTTCAGTTACACATTCTACATTGATTAAAAAAGAAAAATCAAATGTGTTTTTATTTTATACAGAAATAAATAATCTATCATTCAGATGAGAATAAAGTTAGTGTTAGTTCAAATTTTAAGGAAAACAAATATATGATCTGAAATATAGCACATTCATTTAAAATTCATTCAGGTTCAATTACCAAACATACAATCTTAATGTAATTTAAAGCAAACAATACATTTAAAATATATGGGTTGTATGACTATTTTTTAATATAAAAAGATATATATCCAAAAAGACAAGGCCTAAAGTTTAACAAGGGTTAAACTCTTATCACTGTAACAGACACAATCACACACACAATCACACACACACACACACAAGTCAAATCACTTACATTTTACATGCAATATTGACTTTTTTTCTGTTTCAGCAGCGAAAATAGTTAAACAAAGATCACAGCAGAACCATCGCGCATCTCACAGCAACGCGTTCTCATTACTGAATGATTCAGCATTTTGAACGAATCGGTTGACTCAAAGATTCAATGACCAATCAATCCATAAACATCTATCTCATTCATGAATGACTCAGTCGTTCAAACGAATGAATCAATGACTCGCTCATTAAGACGGTCGCCTGGCGACACCTAATGACGGTTTAGTGTTATGTTTAAAAGTATCATTCTTTCCAACGATTGTTAATTAACTCATATTTGAAACATAAGCTATATTTATATATATACATACATATACACACACATACACAAAAATAAAATAAAAACACATTTGAAACGTGTTTGCTTACTAAATTGTGAGCTGAACGAAAGTTGCAGCAAATATCAGCAACAGGAGTCAAATTTCATTAATCACGAGAGTGAAGAGCTGACTGAAAAGATGATGATGGAATAGGCTATTTTATGTAAAAACGCCTATTTAAGCGAATCTGTCATTGTACTCTTTTATTGTTGTGTTTTCCGTGAAAAATAATAGACTATTGAACTCACAATTCAAGCAATCGGCCCCCGAAATTGCACTAATTTTAGTGACACTAAAAAGTATGCGGCTGCACTGGCATTCATAATGGTGCGCGTCCATGGCGACGAGCGAGCAGAACAGAGCGAACGTTTAGTTAATTTCTACTTCCATAGGAATTCATTCGAGCGCCACCATTTCAATGTCTGTGCGGACGTCCATATTATACTTTCGCTTTCAAGTTAGTGTTTTTAAACCCCCCAGCGGGAGGTTTACACAATTGGTTTACACAATCACACGTTGATTAACCGGTGGGAAAATATTCCCATAGTAACATCCCTAATATATAAATATTTATAAATTCAATAGGCCTACCTGATTTTGAACACAAGAGGGCAGTATAGCACTATATATGATTTGGATTATTATTATTTTTGACTAAACAACCATTCTGGCTGTTTTTAAACTTAAAAATAATTCTTAAATTGAAAAAAAGGAATAAAATGGGTTTAGTTCTAATATTTGTATAATTTTATATAAAAATAAATGGTGTATAATTACATTTTAGAAAGATATGAGACATGCCCTGATTCTTTTTTTGACATTACTTGAATCCCTCAACCATAGCAAAACCGTTTGAGATATTCAATATCTGTTCACAATTTAGCATCTTCAATGTATTTTCATCATGTTGAAAAAGTTTGGCATGAATAAAATAAACTACTTAGGAGGAGTAGCTAAAAACTCAGAATCTGAAATCCACATTCAAACCAAAATATCTGACTTCCTGTTGGTCGTAGCTAATTACGGTAAATTAGAAAGTTGTCCGGCTCGAAGAGTACAATATACATATCGAGTTTTGTTACTGTAGATAAAACTAACCCCCCCACTTTTGTCAAAAGCATTTAGAAAGTGACACACTTCCTGCTGCCAGTTGGTGGCGCTATAACTTTGACTCACAATAGTCACATCCATGTGATCGGCCTCTTACAGCGATCACACTGCTGAAGTTTCATCAAGATCAGTTAATGTATGCAGAAGTTATAACGCACTTCTTGTTTGTTGTTTCTCGCCATAAATTCGTTTCCTCGCCACGGCCAAACCGTTCGAGATATCAAAAATCCCCTCGCAAACTTTCATCCTCAATGTCTTGACTTCATGCTGACCGAGTTTCGTGCCGTTTGTTTGAATTCTCTAGGAGGAGTATTTCACATTCCATTGCGTGTGTTTTACCAACAACCCTAAATAGCCGACTTCCTGTTGGGCTGGGGTAAAAAGTAAGAGTGTGAAGTATATATGAAACGAGGAGATCTACATGTGTACCGAGTTTCATATTATTACATGCAAGCGTGTTTGATCTATGGACCATGTTTTCGGACCCCGTTCCAGGGGGCGCTGTCGAGCCCCCCTGCCACGCCCGGGTACCATCTTCAGCCCGGCCCTGATGGCCGCGGGTTCTGACATGTGTGCAAAGTTTCAGGAGTTTTTGAGCATGTTAAGGCCTCCAAAAGTGTCCAAAAGGTAGCAGAAAAATAATAATAATAATAATAATAATAATAATAATAATAATAATAATAATAAATAATCCTAAGGAAAACAATAGGGCCTTCGCCCTTTGGGCTTGGGCCCTAATAATTCTCCAGGACATTTACCAGAGGAGGCCTCCAGCCTCTCCAGTCTGCTGACCAGCCAGTTCAAGGATCCAGAAAACTGGGCACAGTTGTTCCGATTACCCCTGATAAGAGCAGCTGTAGGGAAATGGAAATTTGGTAAATCAAAGCTAAACCTTTATTATAAATCTCTAAACAAGTCATCCTATACCTAGCAGCTCATAGAAAGAGTTCAAAATCTTTTCCCATGACTCTCCTGCCTCTTTCCCAACAGCCTCTTCAAAATGAGTCGCACTATTGTACACATGCAGGTGGTCAATGCAGTCCAGCACCAGAGGGATTATACCCTGAGAAAGGCACAATAAGCAGAACAAAAAACTATATGATTCAGACATTATTGCAGTGTGTGGCTACATATATGTGTTGTCTCATTTGCTGCAGGTATTACCTCATCTTGGAAGAGATTTTGTCTGTTCTTAAGTGCTCGAATATCTCCCTGTCTGACCTCGTGATCTAGCCCCATTTCAGGACATTGAAAATAACCAAGCAAATTCTGCAGTGTCAGACGGACCATCTCAATTGGAAGAACCAAATCAGTAATGTTTTCCTTCTGACTGACATCATCTAGTCCCCTTCAGAAAGGAAAAAAAAAATCCTTATGAAACATAAGTGTGCTTCTTTGAACACACTTTGTGCCTTATAAAAGGATTTTAAAAGAGTTGGAATTCAAAATGCTCCAGCAAAGTTGATAAGCACACAGTATTCTGTAAGCTATCACTGTATTATTGTTACCTAATGAATTGTGAGAAGAGAAGGGCGGAGCTACGAATTAAACAAGCAGCTCGTGACTCCTCCTGTTGAGAGCGAGAAAGGGTGATTCCATCATCCATGTGTCCTTCTGCTTGCAAAACAGCCTGCGAGAGAAAACCACTTCACTTCATGCATTTGAACCAGAATTTTAATATTAGACAGAACAATTATAAAAGAAAGGTATTGGCTTTGTTTAATTGCAGTTCCTGAGCTCAACTGTCTAATGTACACTACTGTTCAAATGTTTGGGGTCAGTAAGATATATATACCGGTGTATATATATATATATATATATATGTGTGTGTTTTTTTTTTTTTTAAGAAATGTATTTAATTATTAAGTTATTTAATTAAAAGTTATTCAGCAAGGACGCATTAAATTGACAGGAAAGACATTTATAATGTAATACAATTTATATTTCAAAAAATACTTTCTTTTTTTTTTACTTTCTATTCATGAAAGAAAAAAAAAGAAAAATAATCACGGTTTCCACAAAAATATTAAGCAACACCACTGTTTTCAACATTGATAATGATATTAAAAATATATATATATTTCTTGAGCAGCAAATTAGCATATTAGAATGATTTCTGAAGGTTCATGTGACAGGAGTAATGATGCTAAAAATTCAGCTTCGCCATCACAGGCATAAATTACATTTTAAAACATAATCAAATAGAAAACAGTTATTTTAAATTGTGATAATTTTTTTTTTTAAATATTACTGTTTTTACTGTAAATTGTTCCCAAGTAAATGCAGTCTTGTTGAGCAGATAAATTGTTGAAAGACTTAAAAATATCAACCCCCAAACATTTGAACGGTATTGTAAGTGATCTTATCTAGTATGACTTTGGACCTTATTTGATTTATTTACACAGGTTTACCTGTCTCTGTGGCACACTTTCCATCTGTCTCTTAGTGTCAGTGGTCTGATATGTGAGCCATAGCCCAGTGTCAATGTGCTGAATGAAACCGAGAGAATCTCCATATTTAATCTCAGGTACGCCCATGCCATCTCTCCTCTTAACAAAGTGTGAGATCTCCTGGCTCTCTTCCTATAAAAATACAATAAAAATAAAGTTTGCATTAATCATCACAATTTAATATATCACCACAACAACAACAAAAAAACAAAAAATATGATTATACTACGTAACCACAATAATTTATTGATTATAATATGGTTTATGTTGAGTTTAGAGATGATATTATGCAACCTTTGATGCACGGAAGGAGAATGCTGTACTTTTGACATCGGCTCTCTCTCTTTCCACCAGCTGTAGTCCCTGATCGTGAGTCAGTCCCAGGTATGATCCGGTGGTAAGGTGCCGAAGACGGAACGGCTGACCCCAGTGAGTGTGGCTACCGCTCCACCTGCAAACAATCTGTTACTAACACAATCTGACAAACACAGAGGGAATCTACTTTCAACTGTCATCTGCAAACTAGCTGAAGGGACACCTACGCAACATGTAACATTTCGAGCCTCCATAAAGATCGAGCCTGAAGAGATACTGAGCCTCCCTCGAAATGGACAGATCTGGAGGAAGAAAGGAAAAATGGTCATGAAGGGAAAAAGCTGTAATAAGTGTCAACAATCTGTCTCCGATCAGTAAGGTAACCTCTCTGACCTGCGCTCTTCCCGTCTGTGATCCGCTGCAGGAATGGTCAAACATTCATCTGTGTGTCCATGTAGCAGACGCACAGTGTCCCCTCCTCGCACATGACCTACAATTCAAAATGAAATTCATAAAAAAAATTAAAAAGTATACAAACCTCCAGCAAAAATATTACATTATAAAATATTATAAAATATTGTATTTACATCCATATTTACCCCCATATATTTTTATATTTAATAAAATACAATATGAGCAAATGTACAAATATTGGAAACATATATAGCCTATATGGCAAAAAAAATATGTGTGGGTGTGTATTTCTTGATAATGTACTGTATTTAGCCAATGAGCATGAAAATTAGCCATTAAGACCTTCAGACACCAAACAAATGTTTAAATTGATAGTATAAAATCGGTCATCTACCCTGCATCTCCACAGTCCCAGAAGAAACAGGGGCCACACTCCACAATGTTTGCTGGAAGGAAGCATCCACCCGGCCAATGCCATTGTTATTACCTTCACCACTACTCCACGACACATGCTAGAAAGAGAGCGACAGGTTGTCACACTGCATAAAAATATTGATATACAGACAGACAAATAGATGAACAGATGGAAGAACAGATGGATTTACTCACTAAGTATCTCTCAGAGGAAATACTAACTAAGATGAGGTCATCACCCACTCTGACTTTCTCACCCTCTGACCTCTGTTTAGAGGCAGGGTGAACCGTCCACCAACAGACCTCACCTGAAACCATCATCATAGTAACATCAATGTATGGCAGCCCTGGTCTTTATCAAAACATTCAGTATACAAAAAAAAAAAGAGAATATGAACTAACCCTTTTTTTCCTTCTGCAAACCAACATCAAAAGCCAGTTTGTCAGAGGAGAGGCCTGATGTGGACATGCAGCAAAGATACTAAAACAAGACAGCAGATTCCAAATTTACACTTCATAGTAGTATGTAAGCCACTAATTAATAACAAGGAATATAAAGCCTGGTCTTACCATGTCACTGTAAACATGTCGAAACAGCACTGCTTGGCCATAGAGTAGAGTACGACGCCCAGCTGCCTCACGGGACTGAAACAAAACACTCTGTGATATTTTACAGTCTATTGTTTGGCACAATTTTAACATTTGTTTACAAGTTACGTTGGGTCGTGAATGTTTCGCGACAGTTTCAAAGTGAAATGTCCAGTAAGGCGTGTTTAGGTTTTTTTTCCGGAACGTGAAAATGGCAAGTGATGCAAACTCCAAAATAAATTCGTTTGCAAATCATGCATAAAAATTGTAATAACATAATTGTGCAAGGAGCCGCGTGAAAACAAGTCTTTATTAATCCATAATCTGCCCTGCCTAATCATAATTGTGTGTGACGAAAAGTCCTTGCTGTCTTACTGCCTCGAGGCAGTAGTGTCCATTTATTTTAGAAACAGCAGTGATATGTGTTGGTATTTGCGTTTTGGAAAAATGTTGCCACAGGTAGGCTACGGTTTTCCAACCTGTGTTAAACAGAGGTGGACAAAGTACACAACTTCCTTACTTGTAATTGAGTGAAAGTCCTGGTCAAATAGCCTACCGATTTTTACGTAAAAGTAGGCTATGGCCTACTCGTTTTTAAAAGTAGGCTACTTAAAGCTGCAGTCCGTAGCTTTTTGGGGGTTAAAAATGATCCAAAATACATATTTAAGAAAATACATAACCAGCGCCAGTGTTCAAAACTCTCTGCTTGCCTTACCTCGATTCAAAGGCGTGATTTTTTCCCCCAAAACACTTCAGCGGAAATCCCGCCCTGCAGCCGATTTCATTGGTTTAGGTCAGTTTAGGATAATGTTTTTAATTCCAGTGGTACTGGTGGATTTCCGCGGGAGATTCGAGCATGTCTTTGCGTAATTACGTCACATCTGTACACATAAAGAAGGAGTCTCGGCTAGTATATATTGCATGTGAGGATGCTGGATGTGGAGATTTATAGCCTTTTCTCACAGCACTTGATATAATTAAACTTATCAATTTGATGGCGGATGCAGAAAGGTTCAAACGACAATCACCAGTGACAACAGATTCACCCGTAAAATGCAAAAGACTTAGTTCGGACTTCGGAGTGGCTACAGAAAAAAAGAGACTGCAACCGAACCCATGCGAAAACAAGGATAATATCGGAAGGACATTTCATGTAGTCACGCAATACTGACGTTGTTAACATTAACAATTTGAGAACAAAGTATAATTTGCACGGTTTTGCGTGATATGATAAGCGATTGTTAGATTTAATCAGCGCGATTTACTGTTAGAACCAGAACAAAAGTGGATGTTTCTTACTTGTTCAGATGACATTTTCTGGTGAAAATTCTTATGTTGGTCATACTTCCAAAAAGAATAATCTGTGATTCTGAATGACAGTATCCACACAGGCGCGGTGATTGACAGCTGCACACTCTCCTCAAACATTGTGTTCATCCGCGCTGTGCCGTGTCGAAATACAACTCACGTAAAGTTGATAATTCCGCGAATAACGGCAATTGCAGATTTCGAACCGAGATGGGGACAAAGAGGAAAAACTGCGGACTGCAGCTTTAAGTATCAAAAGTAAATGTCAATGCATTGTTTTATTATTGTTGCATTGTTGTATGTACTTAGGCCTAGGCCTACCTTATGCTTCTGAGTCTATGCCTGCCTTCATATCAATATCAAATTTATTTCTAGAACATCCAGTTGTGGGATTGAATGTGAGATTGAATAAGTGCACTCAATAACGTCCACAATGGTTTCGGACAGCAAATGGCTGTTACCTCAAATAGTGTCCTATTTAAAAATTTTTGGCTTAATGAATATAGCCTTATAGGCCTAAGCTAGTGTGCTCCAAAACAATGACAAAATTCGCATTTACAAGACCAAACCCAACGTTGAACATGAAAATCAGTTTGATGTCAGAATCCAACGCCAGTTTGATATTAATCCCCAACGTTGGACAGATGTTCGTGTTTGAAAATGAAAATCGGGTTTCTGAAAGTTCTGACTGACGTCAACCCGACTATATTTTCCAACCAAAATGCAACCCCTGCAACCAAAATCTTCCCCTGACTGACTCTCTACTCGAGTAAAAAGTATGATATTTGTCTTTCAAATGTAGTGAAGTTAGAGTAAAATGTTTCCAGAAAAAATAATACTCAAGAAGAAGAAAGGTGTACTTAAGTACATTACTCAAGTAAATGTACTTTAATTGTTACTGTCCAGCTCTGGTGTGGTGTTGAATAATATGATGTTTTGGTGCTCAAGAAACATTTCTTATTATTATTAATGTTGAAAACAGCTGTGCTGCTTATTCTTTTTTTTTCAGTCAACCATGGTTATTTGATGAATAGAAAGTTTAAAAGAATAGCATTTATTTGAAATAGAAATCTTTTGTAAATTTATAAATGTCTGTCACTTTTTATCAATTTATTACATCTTTGCAAAAATAAAAGTTGTCATTTCTTTCAAAAAACTTTTGAAATATAGTGTACAGGTGATATTTTTCACTGAATATTTATCCACTGAATTGATAACTGTTCATAGTTTGCTGAAGTCTGAATTGTCTGAAGCCCCTTTCACCACATTACCCACCCCTGCACACTGGTCTTCATGGTTGGCCAGCATCTCCTGCAGCGCTCGGACAGACAGGCACTGGTCAAGAACAAACACGCACACAGAAAGGTCTGCTGGAACGTTCTGTTAACAAGAGGAAAGACGACACGAAACTGCAGGAGCTGTTTTTGAAGCATCATGCACAGACTTACACATACATGTGACTTAGTTTAAAAAATATTACGTAAATGAGCATCTCACCTTTGAGTTGGAGGTGGACTCAAGGTAACACAACCGGTCGCCGAAACCTTCTGCAGCTAAAGACAGTTTCTTCTGATGAGGGCCTGATGAGCAACACCTCAACACCAGTTCATCCCGCTGAAAACATTCACATTACTGACCACAGCTAAGAATATACCCAGCTAACACAAATACGTGACTGTTACGTCGTGTGTTAGCTGGGTAGACTCTTATCTGATCTCACAAAAAAGGGTTAGTTCACCCAAAAATTAAAATTCTGTCATTAATTACTTGCCCCCATGTCGTTCCAAACCCGTAAGATCTTCGTTCATCTTCGGGACACAAATTAAGATATTTTTGATGAAATCCGAGAGCTTTCTGACCCCCCACCCGTTAGACGTTATTACCCCTTTCAAGGCCCAGAAAAGTAGTAAAGACAGCGTTAAAATAGTCAGGACTACAGTGGTTCAACTTTTCTGTTATGAAGAGAGGAGTAAAACGACTTTATTCAACAATTTATTCTCTTCTGTGTCATCTCTTGACACTGTTCACGTAGTAAACACACGCGCAGCACGTCAGAATGCCAGCTCCTGCATCAGCAACACTAACATGTCGTGGTGCTCACGGAAACAGCGTCAGAGTTCTGACACAGAAGAGAAGAAATTGTTGAATAAAGTGGATGTTTATATTATTATTATTTTTCGCACAAAAAGTACTCGTCACTTCATAACATTAAGGTTGAACCACTGACACATGGTGTTTTGAAGTTTTCCTGTCTGTCCTGCAGTTGCCACGCCCATTTTTCTTTGCCACTCATGCCGCGTTCCAGGCAACCTGTAACCCGTGTTTTTCCAACCTTATACCCGTGAAAGTGCACTGGAACGGCAGTCAAACCCGTGACTTCCCACCCGTGAACTCGTACTAGATCGATGTACTCCCAGTTACGAGTTCTGACGTCACATAGCCCGCAAAACCATACAAAACAACAATGGCAGCCCCTACGGATGCAGTGTTTCTGCAGGCGGTACACAGTGAGAATACACTTTAGGACAATATAACGTTGCAGTCAAATTAATAATAATATAATAATAATGATAATAATACACACAAGATTATGTATTACAATGTCATGTGTCTGAAACAATAAGTATGTATATACACACACGATTATGTATTACAATGTTATGTGTCTGAAAAAATAAGTATGTATATTGCGCTCAGGTAGTTTGGCGTGACTGGCCTGGAATGCTACAAAGTCGTGAGTCGTGGTTTGAAGTCGGGATTTACGTGCTCAAAAACCTGCCTGGAACGCAGCATCAGTTCCCCATGCAGTTCCCCACACCTTCATCTAATTAGCTCCAATCAGCCACAGACTTTATTAGACAGCACCTGTGCACAGCCCTTTCTCTTTGTTCCTGCCACATGGAGGAATCCTTGTATGTTGCTGCTGGAAATGCCTTGTCTCCTGCCCTGTGTGCGTTATTGAACTATGTAAGTTCCATACGTTTCTCTTTTGATCGTATGTTACTTTAATTATGAGACTGTTCCTTTCTGTCTGTTTAAATGTACAAATGTTTGATTGTCATTCAAATGGATTGTGGCCTTGTATTGTGGCATTATGTAGCTAATTGTATCTCATATCATTTCCCTTTTAGAGACCACACACACACATATACAAACATACCTAATAAAGAAAGACATTGTGTAGTTAAAGTGACTGGACAAGACTGTTCTTATCGACAACTCCACTGGTCTCAAGCTACCTGCACATCCCTCTCAAACCTCCTTTTCACATGGACTATTTTAACAATGCCTTTACTACCTTTTTGGGCCTTGAAAGTGGTGATTACATTGCAGTCTATGGGGGGTAGGGGATTTCATCAAAAGTATCTTAATTTGTGTTCCGAAGATGAACGAAGGTCTTACGGGTTTGGAATGACATGAGGGTGAGTAGCCTAATCAATGACAGAAATTTCATTTTTGGGTGAACTAAAGTTTTTTGATGGAATAATGCTTAAAATTGCATATGACTCCATTGTTTAACAGAAACAGAAATAAAGTACAAATGATGTTTGCAGCTCTACCACTGTCTTTTATTTTATATTTGTAATGTAAATTACACTTGGATACATGCACCATAAACTGTGAAATGGAAATGAGAGGGGGAGGAATGCAACATGATACATTGATATTTGATTAATTGTCTTCAGCACTACTTTGCTGTTCAGGCAATACATTTTGGTCAAGACAACTATACATTTCTAGAAAATGATCAGTTAACTTTGTAATTATTAAATTTTAACTTCTGAAAAAGTGAACATGTTGCAAAGCAAACAAATAACATTCAAGTTTTGAATAAATGCATGTACACCCCAAAACTAAAAATACAAACCTCAGTAAAGTAAAAATGGCAATCAGAAATTAATCAGCAACGTTGTTCAACATGAAATTGTTTGTTGAATATTAACACTTTATATTACGGTGATGTTGTTACAGTGTAAAATTACACAAATAAGTACTGAGTAAATTAACTTATGGTTAAGGTTAGTGTTAGGGTTGATAGGGCTTGGTTACTTATGATGCATAATTTACTGTTGTTGTCATATTATAGTAAGTACAAGTAATGTGTAACTATGTCACCTTAAAATAAAGTGTTACCAAATATACCATGTTTTTATGTAAGTAATTAACATATTTGTAATATCTGTGATTAGAGAGCCCCATTTTTCCTGGTTAAATGAAGATTATAAATAAATTCTAAACAAATAAACGGCCCCATATTATGCTAGATTAAATGTCATGGCTCATTTTACAGTGTGTAGAACAGCAGTGTTTTATGTTGCACTGGAGCAGATTGGAGCAGAGCAGCCTTATAAGGGCTGAATATCTGTGTATCATTCAGTGAATGGAGAATTCCAACACCTCCAGCTTGTCATTTGTGTTTCAGTGACCAGTAATGGGTCTCACACACACACGCACGCACGCACACACACACAAAGTTAAGGCTTAATTAACACAATCTAAAACAATTAATTATTTTTCTGCACTTTACTGTTACAAACGCATGCACTAAATGACTCAGTGAATGAGTGGAAGCGTGTACTGTATCTGTGTAAGAAAAAGAGAGCACATTTATATCTGTTTTAGAGATATGGAGCTGAGAGTGGATAGCTCCAACAGACTCTCCAGTTCCTCTGTTACTGATAACACAAAGTAAAAATAGACACCAGTGATATGGGTCAAACTCTCTCAAATGTGAATTCAAACACTGTAAATCACATCATTGCATTTCATAACTGTATATGACAACAGACACAAAAATGAATGATAAATACACAAAGTTATGAGTGATTGCTCAAGCGTAAACATATCATCAGTATGAAATTGTATTACTGTAAGTAACATCTGTGGAGCGAGTCCGTGTATCCATATCCATGGCCAAAAATGTCTGATATATTCTTCTGTAACCCATCTGCTAACATGTAATATTGATCCATGAAGTTAATTAAGTTCCTATAACATCAATCTAAAAACAAATCCAATTGCAATTTAGTAATCAGCTGCAAATTAGTAATCAGCCCTTTTACTGTCAGAAGTTACAAATATAGCATAAAGAAGTCAACACATTATCAATTGCATTAAAATTTGCATTATAATATAGTCAATTTTACTTACAGTTCGCAGAAACTGGATTTCATCTTCCGCTTCTCCAATATCCATGTTCAGTGACTAGCCGGACTTTAGGGATCTGTGTGTAAGAACCAGAAGACTGAAGAACTCCACTCAACAAGCCGCAGGTGCTGAACCCATCCCAGGACAGGGAGACCACGATACCACCCATCATGAGATAATGCTGCTGAGATCTGATAAAGTTAAAGTGGGAAAGAAAGGGATTCTCCATATTTGGTATTTACAATGGAGAAAGCTTGCAAGCAAGAAAGTAAAAGCATATAGAAAAACATGTAATTAATGTGAATTATCAATAAATATTAATATGTATATATATATATATATATATATATATATATATATATATATATATATATATATATATATATATATATATACAGTTGTGGTCAGTATTAATGGCACCCCTGGTAAATATGATTAAAAAATGGCTGTAAAAAATAAATCTGCATTGTTTATCCTTTTGATCTTTCATTCAAAGATTTTGCTAAAATCTAACCTTTCATTGAAGTAAAAGAATTGAAAGTGGGGGGTAAATCACATTATGAAATAAATGTTTTTCTCCGAAACACATTGGCCACAATTATTGGCACCCCAGAATTTTTTACGAGTAAAATATCTCTGAAGTATATTCCCATTAATATTGACCTTTTTTTTTAGCACACCAGGGTGACTAGGAACATGAAAGTGTCTAGCTATAACTTATTGTTTCACAGGAGTTTAAATTTGAGGAAACACAAAGGCCAAATTCCCTTAATCATCCATCACAATGAGTAAAACCAAAGAATATAGTTCTGATGTGCATCAAAAGATTGTTGAGCATCACAAAATACAAAGTGGCTGTAAGAAAATTGATTTTGAAAATCCCCATTTTGACCATCTGTTAATTAAGAAGTTCCAATCATAAAGATGTTACGAATCTGCCAGGAAGAGGACGTGTGTTTATATTGTCTTAATGCACTGTGAGGAGGAAAGTTTGAGTGGCCAAAGACTCTCCAAGGATCACAGATGGAGAATTGCAGAGATCACTTGAGTCTTGGGGGTCAGAAGCCATACAAAAAAAAAAAAAAAAAATCAAACAACCCCTACGTCCCCATGTTGTTTGGGAGGGTTTCAAGAAAAATCCTCCTCGCTCCTCCAAAAACAAACTCCAGCAAACTCAGTTGTCAGACACGACTGGATCTTCAGACGGCACAGGGTTCTGTGGTCAGATGAGACTAAAAAAAGAGCTTTTTGGCAGCAGACACGCTAGATGGGTTTGGTGCACACAAGGATAAAAAGTACTCCGTGTGTACAATTTAATATACCGTTGGATCTTTAATCGTGGGCGTATTTTTCTGCTGGAGGTCCTGGACATCTTGTTCAGATGGCATTGTGGTTTCTATCAAATATCAACAGATAAAAAATCAAAACCTGACGGCTTCTGCTAGAAATCTTATAATGTTACGGAGCACAAAATGAAGCTTCTGCCATGACCGTCCCCTGACCTGATGAGTGGAGTGAACTGAAGAGAAGAAGCACCAACATGGATCTGGGAATCTGAAGGATCTGGAGAGATTCTGTAGGAGGAATGGTCTCTGATCTCTTGTCAGGTGTTCTCCAAACTAATCAGGCATTATAGGAGAAAGCTGTTATCTGGGCAAAAGGGGATTGCAAAAAGTATTTAATAAAAGGGTGCCAATAATTGTGGCCAACGTGTTTTGGAGAAAAACATTTATTTCATAATGTGATTTTCCCCCAACTTTCAATTATTTTACTTCAATGAAAGGTTAGATTTTTTTTATCAAAAGGATAAACAATGCAGATTCAATTTTTACAGCCATTTTTTATCATATTTACCAGGGGTGCCATTAATTCTGACCACAACTGTATAAATATAAGTAAAAACAAAAACATACTAAATTATGCAACATATTATAAATATTTACGTAGTGTATGCCTTTATTAAATATTTATGCTTTATTCAAAACATTCAGTAACAAAAGCAGAGACTTGATCTTTTCATAAGTAAGCTTTATTTCATTTATGTCACTGTAAAACACACATATTTGGCTTTCTTGATCATATAATTCAACACCAAACATTCTCAAATCAAAACTGATGTTGACAGGTTAACAAACTGACCACAAATCAATCAAGTACACTGTCACCGTACACTGAACTAGTGTGACCTTTAGGAATTTGGTGCTTATGGCAATAAAATAAAACTGTTTAATCTCCCAACAGTTTGAAAATGACAATCCATCCCAGATTACTTTTCCTAATTATAGTTGCAGGAAAAAGCAGAGGGATTCAGAAAACAATTGTTTGTGTGTTAAGCAGACTGTTTGATATTGTTCCTAAGGGTTCACATACTGTACTTTTTTCCTGTAAATTCAATATATTATCTTAAAATCTGGTTATTCATTATTTGACAAGCCATATAGTAAATTAATACTTTTACACTTTCTGCAATCACCAAATTGATAAAAATGCTTGAGCATACGCAATATAAAAAATTGTATGTAAAACCAAATCAGTAGCCGATGCTCTTATCTATCTGACTCACTTCTGAGAATGACAAGGTCACCTCCTCTTTATTTCATATAAACTATTACCATACCATATATGAAATCAGGCACTGAAGTTTCAAGTGATAATTATATTGTGTAAGAATTGAGTTGAGCCACTATTCATGTTGCTTTTTTGAACCAGGCATATAGATGTAATATAGAGATAATTGAGAAAGCATGGTGCTGGTTGGGTGAATCTTTCTTAATTCATTCATTCAATAATTCAAATGTGCAAAATATTTCATACTGAATAGATTTTACACTACCACACAAAACAGTATTTGTGTTTGTGTATGTGTGTGTGTGGGGATCAGATCAAAAAAAGATCAGAGTAAAATGCATAAAACCTAAAATGCAACATTAATCTTATTTGATTTCAGTGTACCTACTGTGTTTGCTGTAATATAAGTGACATGCATGTGAATGTTCTCTGTATTTTAATAGCCCATATAAATTAAGGAGAGTAACATTCAGTAACATTCTAAAATTCCCAACATTTTGTGGGGTTTTGTCACGGATCATTAACCTCCCATCGCTTTCTTTTAGCTTCCGTCATTTCTTTTCATTTCAAGACTGCATTCCACTGCATTGCCTTATTAAACATTTCATATCAACGGTCTAGCAAAATACATCAACTGACATTAAAAATTGAAGTTGGGTTCATTTTGTATATTTGGCATGTTTTCATTTCATGGGACTGTGGATCTGATGGGTAAACAATTTACTTGGTTAACAAGTGAGATGGGATTGTAAAGGTCAGAGGTGTCGATGGAGTTAAAGGTCACTCTCTCCGTAGAGGGCAGTGGAGAAGGCAGTGTAGTCCAGGGCTCTGGGCAGGGCCCCGGGGCCAGAGTATGGGGGCATCCTGCTGATGCAGTACTCGGCCTGGTCTGGAGGGAGTTCCCTCCTTAACTCATCTGCCAGAATATACGGCTGTACAAGACACAATAAACAACAGATAATGCATATGGAAAGAATATGTGAGCCACAAAAGATTGTTCTGACAAACTTTGAGGTTAAGTAAACAATATAATCCACACACACCTTGTCTGCAGCAAGGATCCTGAAGGAAGCGATGACCTGTTCAGCCGTGTCTGTGTCTGCTGTCTCTCTGGTCATGAAGTCAATGAAGGACTGGAACGACACAACGCCTGAAGTGTTTGGATCAACCAGCATCATGATCCGAGCAAACTCCACCTCACCCTGAAAAACACGCATACATATCATTCTAGCAGTTAAAAACTCCCCCAACATGGTAGTCTGTTGAAATTCACTCACACACCATATGCCCAAGACTGATCAGACATGCTTTAAACTAATCAGGCCTATTATATATATAATATATACTGTATATATATAAATGTATAACTGTATTTTCATAGACATTTTTACTGGAAAACAAGATAAAAATACTGGTTAAGAACATTTTTATTAGTTCGTAAGCATGAACCTTATTTAAGGCCCTACCAGATCATAACCCATCGAGATCAGACAGGCCCTAAAGTCATCAGAATCCATCGCCCTATTCTTCTTCTGCATGGGAAAGGTTAAAGGGCAGAGGTCGAGGGTGCATGGGTGACACAGCGACATGGTAGGAATAATGAAGCAATGTATAGTAGGGAAAGAGACAGCACCTAACACAGAGACACACAGATGTACAAACAAAGAGACAGCACACAACCACAGACACAAAAAAAAAACACAAGAGAGGTAGGCCTACATCAGAACTATATTCTGCATATTTATAAATCTATGCAAAGAACTACATTTTGGGGTAAAGAGTTAGAGGTCATGTTGGTTAATACCTGTTTGTCATTTCCTAAATGCCCAAGACTAAACAGACATGCTTTAAACTCATCAGGCCTGAGTTTACCCCTCTCTTCCTGAGAGCAGGAAGTTAGTAGAAATAAAGAAAAGTAAAAGGTGATTGATAAAAAGATAAAACGCCACAACATTTCATCATAAGGTATAAGAGGCATTGCTTTTTTCAACAACAACAAATGTTTAGCTCAAATAGTATGGAAGTAAAATAATGAAATGTTTTTGAAACAAAAAAGCTTGTTGAATTGCACTAGTTACTTGAAAGAATATGCATTGCATTAACCCCTTCTTGCTTTTTAATGCATTGTATTTTTAGGGCTTGCATTTTTATGGGCTCAAATTCAACATGGTGGTATATTTAAGCTGTGAATATTTCAATTCAAAACATTTCACACACGTTTTCATTATTAAAAATTCAATAATCCTTATCCACCTTTCAGATTTCACTTCTAAAATATTAATTCTGTTTGAAAATACAACCTATAATATTCGACAGGCAATTTTCGGTCGATTTTATTTCGCTTCCACAAATTCAGTGGTTCAAATTCGACAGAAATTTAACATTTGACATCTTGGAACGGCAGGAATATCAGTAGATTGCCGATTGATAAATTCCATAGCTGTTAGTCGATCTCACCAGCAGGGGGTGCAAGTGGCTGTTGATGAAGAAAACGTCTCAGGTTACGACTGTAACCATAGTTCCCTGAGATAGGGAACGAGACGATGCGTCATCGACGCTTTGGGAACGCCCCCAGCGTGAATGCGTCTGAGCATCAATGTCAACTAGTCCAATGGAAAGAATGAGCGTCACGGGCGGGTGACGTCATGACCAGGAAGGCATAAGAACACATCCGGTAAAACGCGGCATTAGCTTCAAAAAGTCTAAGCAAGCCGATCACAGGGATGCAGGAAGTATGGCAGGGTGACGCATCGTCTCGTTCCCTATCTCAGGGAACTATGGTTACAGTCGTAACCTGAGACGTTCCCTTTCGAGGGAACTCGCGATGCGTCATCGACGCTTTGGGAACGAGAATACCCAAAACGCCAGAATTCCAAGTACCTGAGTGGCAGACTGTCGTAGCTAAACACTAACACATGAGAACCTGGGGCAGCATCCAGGTCCAAACTGTAAAACCTGACGAATGTGAGCGGTGAGGACCAGCCTGCCGCATCACAAACGTCTTGGAGAGAAACCCCAAATAACAAGGCTTTAGAGGCCGCCATACCCCTCGTAGAGTGAGCTCTGACCACCAAGGGACACGGATGGTCAGAGTACTCGTATGCAAGTGAAATAGCCTCGACTATCCACTTACTAACCGTCTGTTTAGAAGCAGGAAGACCCTTCTTAGGTGATCCAAAGCAAATAAATAACTGGTCGGACTTCCTCATTGAAGATGTCCGATGAACATAAGTTTCCAGTGCTCGCACTGGACACAAGAGGTTCAGCCTTTCCTGGTCCGCAGATGTAAAAGGAGGAGGACAGAAAGCCTGCAGCACAATAGGCCTCGGAATCAAGGTCGGCACCTTAGGGACGTATCCCTGTTTCGGATATAAGAATGCCTTGACCATCCCCGGTGCAAACTCAAGGCAGGTGGGGGAAACCGAAAGGGCCTGAAGGTCTTTTAACTCTCTTAAGGGAAGAAATAGCTAGCAGAAAGATAGTCTTGAGGGTAAGAAATTTCTCTGAAACCGAATCTAAGGGCTCGAACGGAGCCCTAGACAGGCCTTCTAGTACTATAGCAAGATCCCAAGCTGGCACCTTAGTGCGAGTTGCAGGCCTCAGCCTCAATGTGCCACGAAGGAAACGTGTAATCAGGGGGTCTCGACCCAACGATGTACCCCCCACCAGGGCGTGGTAAGCCGCAATGGCCGCCACGTAAACCTTGAGCGTGGAAGGACATAGACCTGACATAAAGCGCTCCTGCAGGAACTCGAGTACTGTGTTCACAGAACAGTTAACTGGATCCCACTGATGTCGGTGACACCATACAGAAAAAAATCTCCATTTAAGCGCATAAAGTTTCCTAGTAGCTGGAGCTCTGGAGCTTAGGATGGTCTCAGCAGCCTCAGCTGAGAGACCACTCTCTATAAGTTGGGCCCCCTCAGAGGCCAAACCCACAGGTTCCAAATCTCTGGTCGAGGGTGAAATATCGTGCCCCCGGCCTGAGACAGAAGGTCTCTCCTGATCGGGATCTCCAAGGGAGGACCGTCTAAGAGATGGATCAGGTCCGCAAACCAGATCCGACTCGGCCAGCGTGGTGCTACAAGCAGTAGGCTTATTCCGTACTGGCGGAATCGTTCCAGAACTCCTGGGAGCAGAGCAACAGGGGGAAATGCGTACAGACGTAGCCTCGGCCACGTCTGCACCATAGCATCCAGCCCCAGGGGGTGAGTAAGGGAGAACCAAAGTGGACAGTGCGTCGTATGCTGAGATGCAAACAGATCCACCTCTGCTTGGCCGTAAAACTCCCAAATTTTCTCCACCGCCTCGGGGTGGAGTCTCCAGTCCCCTGGCCTTAGCTCCTGCCTCGACAGGACGTCTGCCCCAATATTCTGGTCCCCAGGAATATACACTGCCCTCAGGGAGAGTACCTTCCCCAGAGACCACAGGAGGATCTGGTGCGCCAGTTTGCAAAGCGGACGCGACCGCAGACCCCCCTGACGGTTCAGATAAGAGACCACTGATGTGTTGTCTGTTCGTACAAGCACATGATGGCCCCTCAGGTCTGGGAGGAACTGTCTCAACGCATTGAAGACAGCCATCATCTCCAGGCAATTGATGTGCCACGAAAGATGATGACTTTTCCACAGACCCTGAACCGAGCGGCCTTCCATTACCGCTCCCCAGCCGGTGAGGGAAGCATCTGTCGAAATAGTAACACGATGGCAAAGAGCTCCCAATACCGGACCCTGATACTGTTTCCTCCATATAATTAAGGCACGAAGGCACCGCCGCGTGACCTTGATCATACGAAGTGGGTTTCCCCTCGGGGAGAACCCTCTGGTCCTTAGCCACCACTGTAAAGGTCTCATGTACAGCAGGCCAAAAGGTATCACGTTGGACGCTGCCGCCAAAAGACCCAACAGTCTCTCGAACTGTTTTACAGTGCGTGACTGGCCTAGCTTTAGCTCTTTGGTGGCTGTCAGGATAGCAGCTACACGAACGGGCGATAGAGTGGCCCGCATCGTCACTGAATCCCATACCACACCAAGGAAAGTGGTTCTCTGTACTGGAGAAAGCACACTCTTCTTGGCATTGAGCCTCAACCCCAACATCTGCATATGAGCGAGAACGACACCTCGGTGCCGAACCGCCAACTGCTCTGATTCCACTAGAATCAGCCAGTCGTCGATGTAGTTCAGAATACGTAAGCCCTGAAGCCTGAGAGGGGCTAGAGCTGCATCCACGCATTTCGTGAACGTGCGGGGTGATAAAGCTAGACCGAAAGGAAGAACCCCATATTGGTATTCTTTGCCCCCGAAAGAAAACCTTAGGAACTTCCTGTGCTGAGGGAGGATGGAGATATGGAAGTAAGCGTCCTTCAGATCTATCGTGACAAACCAGTCCTCGGATCTGATTTGAGTCACGATCTGTTTGACTGTCAGCATCTTGAACTTGAGTTTTTGTACTGAACGATTTAACAGACGAAGATCTAAAATGGGACGCAACCCCCCATCCTTTTTTGGAACAATGAAATAACGGCTGTAAAAACCCGACTCTCTGTCGGGTGAGTACACCTGTTCTATAGCTTCCTTTGCTAACAGGGCCTTTACCTCTTGCTCCATTACCAGGGCCTGCTCGGGATGCACCACTGTGGGCAGCACCCCGTTGTAACGAGGAGGACGAGAACCAAACTGGATTCTGTATCCTTTCTCTACAATCTGCAGGACCCAACAAGAAATATTCGGCAGAAGCTTCCACGCTGCCAGAAAATTTACTAAGGGAACCAGCCTCTCGAGGCTGGTCTCTGGTGTTATCGAGACAGCTAATTCTGGAGCCTGAAACATAATGGCAGGAACTACCTGAACTGGCCGCTCTAAAGCCCCCCTCAGAGGGCGCGAAAACGATGCTGTGCCGCAGCATAGCATCAGCGACTCGCTGGAGAGCGCTGCGCCCTGAAGCACCGAGGGTGGCAGGGTTGGCAGAACGGTCTCGTGAGGACCCCGAAATGGAACGGGCACCGTATAATGTGGTGTACACCATTCTATTTCGGTCGGGGCTGTCCTCACAGGCCTGATGCATGAACATCAGGACCTTTTTTTTTTTTGAGCCGAAGTCTTCTTCGCCTGAAGAACGGTCCTCAGATCCGGCTTCGACTTAGAAGACTTTGGTTGAGAGGGTTGCGTCTGTCTCCAGTTTCCACGTGGAGGTGCACGAGACGCAACACTCTCTTTCTGATGCACACGATATGATGAGCTTGATGGCTGGGGCTGCTCACGCCCAGCAGCCCCAGGGGGCTGGACACGGTGAGGGATAAACTTTTTGAAAGCGTCAGCTTGCTTTTTTGACTCCTGAAATCTCTTGACGACCGCGTGGACTGCGTCACCAAAGAGACCAGAAGGTTCAAGCGGAGCATCTAACAAAAAAGCACAATCTTTTTCCTTAATCTCAGAAAGATTTAACCATAAATGTCTCTCAGTGGCTACCAAAGCTGCCATAGACCGCCCAATTGCTCTGGCGGTCTCCTTAGTAGCCCTGAGAGAAAGATCGGTAGCCCGACGAAGTTCTCGAATATCGTCATGACTGACTCCCTCACTATTATCCAGATCCCCCAGCAGGTCAGCTTGATAAGCCTGAAGCACTGCCATAGTATGCAGACATGCTCCAGCTTGACCTGCTGCCGTATAAGCTTTGCCCACTAACACCGAAGTGGCTTTGAGCGGTCTAGTGGGCAAAGCCGAGGCTTTCAGAGACGATGCGGGACCGGGGGAAAGATAGCTGGCTAAATTCTGTTCCGCCTGGGGCATCGCCTCATAACCATACTCTTTCAGCCCTCTAATTCTTGAATAAGTGTTAACTTGAGGGCTGAAAAGTCGTGACGAGTATGGTTTATTCCATGATTTAGAAATCTCATTGTGAAGATCAGGAAAAAATGGAAGCCCTCGTGGTGGAGATGAAGCAGTAGAAGATAAAAAGCGCTCATCTAATTTACTTTTAGGACGAGCGCCCCTATTATCAGATGGCCATTCAATCTTTAATTTATCTACAGCCCGCGACATAACATCCACCAGCTCATCATATGCTGGGGAAATAAATTGTGAATCTCTTTCCCCCATGTGTGTGCTTTCACTCTCCAAACTCATAGCATCGACCTCCTCGGAGGAAGAGCAATGAAGTAATGGAGGGCTCTCTCCCCGGGCGGAAGAAACCGCAGAGCGTGCTTCCGATACCGGGGGGGGAGCGCTGGATCTTTCGGGTAAGGAAGGAGAAAGAGCCCTCGGACCCGTCTCCAACCCCTCCGAAAGATCCTTTTGCGATCCCCAGGAATGCATTCTCCGCGCTGCCTCGGCAGACGCGGGTCCTGGTCCCTGCGGATCGCGAGCCTGCCCACTCTCTTTATCAAAGAGTGACAGGCGAGAGCGGAGCATGCGAAGCGGTAGCATTTCACAGTGTTGGCACTCAGCCCCCTCGAAGGCTGAGACCGCATGCTCCACTCCCAAACAAATGACACAAAGCTTGTGTGTGTCCCCACCCGTTAAATAACGCGGGCAGGGAGAAGCACACTGTTTGTACACTTGTTTCGTTTCCATAGCTTTTCCGCAACAGACAACAGTAAATAGACAGAGACAAAATGACACAGATCGCTTGCTGAGACACAGAAGCTAATGCCGCGTTTCACCGGATGTGCTCTTATGCCTTCCTGGTCATGACGTCACCCGCCCGTGATGCTCATTCTTTCCATTGGACTAGTTGACATTGATGCTCAGACGCATTCACGCTGGGGGCGTTCCCAAAGCGTCGATGATGCATCGCGAGTTCCCTCGAAAGGGAACTATAAAGCAACGGGTGAGAGTCATTCATTCATAAAAAACGGATTTACAGAAATGGAAAAATACAATGCATTAAAATGCAAGCAGGGTTAATGCAATGTATATTTTGTTTCAAAAACATTTGTCATTATTTTACTTCCATTTACTTCCTATTCCTATTCTACTTCCATACTGCAAATGATCTCCCATTTCAGACTAAATTTGTTCCAGTTATGGAACAAGCTAAAGTGAATGGAAAGATAATTACCACTCTTGCCTTGTGAAGCCTCTGAAAAAGTGAATGTGTAAAATAAAGCAAATATAAAATTATTGTGTCTCAGTTAAAATAAGAGAGATTTACAGATGTTTGTATAATGCTCAGTCTTAAGAGGTGAAGTGTTTAGTTTAGTTAGGATGGTTTAATAACTATTAGTATAGCATCTATTCAACAAGACACGTGTCTAGTGTACGTAAAGGCCGAATACAGCACCCGATCAAAGTGGTTGAAAGAGGATCGGAATTCATTCATCTGCTCCTGGCTGATGCCTTTTGCATCACGTGTCAGAATTTGAGTCTCGATTTCATTAATAGTGCGAGCGATCGTGGTTAAAAGGAGTTCCCAGCCGACACGAATATGCTGCAGAGGAAAGAGAAATACTGCTGTAAAAACCAGGATCAAGTGACAAATCAAATGTGATGTGTCAGATATAGATCATTATTGTATACAATACATTCAAAAATGTGTGGTTGGTAAGATCTTTTAAAGTAAAGTCTCTTATGCTCATCAAGACATTTTCAGAAGCCATTACTCTAGTCTTCAGTGTCACATGATTATTTTGAAATCATTCTAATATGCTGGAGCTTAATATGTAAAAAATAAAAATTGTGGAAACCAGGATACATTTTATCAGAATTCTTTGATGAATAGAGGAACAGCATTTACTTGAAATAGAAATCCTTTATAGCTCTACTGTTAATTTTTGATCAATTTAATGTGTCCTTGCTGAATAAAAAGTATTCATTTCTTTTGGAAAAAAAAAATCTTACTGACCCTAAAAGTTTAAAGGTAGTGTTCAATACTATAGGTTTAAAAATATGTTTATGATTGTGAACAAGAATGTGTAATAGATGTGTGTATGAGTACCTCCATAGTGTAGTTTGTATGTTTGTTGTCAAAGATAAGTGACTCCTGGATAAGTTGGTGGTCTCCCTCCAATCTATCTATGTTTTGTTTGTAGCTGACAATCACATGCTCATACTGCTTCAGCTGGGTCATCTGATCCTCCAGAGTCCCCTCCATTGCCATAGAACAACGACCAATTTCCTGTCAGACAGACGAACGATAGATAGTTAGATAGATAGTTAGATAGATAGATAGATAGATAGATAGATAGATAGATAGATAGATAGATAGATAGATAGATAGATAGATAGATAGATAGATAGATAGATAGATAGATAGATAGATAGATAGATAGATAGATAGATAGATAGATAGATAGATAGATAGATAGATAGATAGATAGATAGATATCAAATAGAATGTCTTATTTGTGGACATTGGCACAAGTATTAGCTAAGCCACACACCTCCATCCTGGTCTGTATCCATGGTCCAATAAGGTTGGCTTGGGCAGCAAACTGGCGCCTGAGCCTTTCGTTACCATGCTGTCTCGCTAACTCCTCCTGCAGTGCACTGTCACGCTGGGGAACCAGCTTCTTCACCTTAATGCACAAACGCACATCATGATTATGGTGTGAAGATTACAGAAATGTGATTAGAATGGAACAGAACCCAGGTCTAAGGGGTGTGTGTGTTTAACCTTGTCCCACTTGATGGCAATCTCTTCTGTAGTTATGGTTCTGTAGGGGTTGGTAAGATCTCCATGGATGCCATAACTCTGGGAGATCTTCAGGACTTCCTGCTGAATGCCAAGGATCGCCTGCCTCTCTGCATCCGCTTCAGGAAGTGTGGCCTTAAACTGCTCGTGGGCAGCTATCAGAGTCTACACACAATGGATTACAATGGATTTTTATTTGTTTGTTTGTTTTATAAAAGTTTGGGGTAAGTACGATTTTTGTGAAAGGAATTAATACTTTTATCCGTTAAGGATGCGTTCAATTTACCAAGTTTCACATTGTTACAAAAATATATATATTTCAAAATAAATGCTTTTGAACTTTATTATTCATCAAAGAATCCTGCAAAAACAATGTATCAAGGTTACCGCAAAAATATTAAGCAACACAACTGTTTTCAACATTGATATTAATATGATATAAAAATGTTTCCTGAGCACCAAATCAGCATATTAGAATGATTTCTGAAGGATCATGTGACACCGAAGACAAATTTTGAAAATTTAAAAGAGATTAAAGTATAAAACAGTTATTATATTTGTAATTAAATTCCACAATATTACCATTTTTACTGTATTTTGTAGAAGTAAATGTAGTCTTGGTGAGCATAAGTGACTTCTTTCAAAACGTTTGTGTACCTGGACCTCGTCAATGGTGTGCACTATGAACATATCCTGTAAGTCTTCCATGGCTCCTTCCATCCAGTTATTAAAGGGTGCGGATCTCTTTGCGTATTCCAGAAACAACTGCTCCACCGTCTCCAAAAGTTTCTCTGTCCTCTACAGAAATGAAACACAGATTCAAACCTTTTTGCTTTTTTGAATATCTTGATTGATCTCAAATATTGTAGTACAAAACAGGTTGGGACACACACAGCATACCTCCAAAGCCTCTCTGCGTTTCTGGGTGAGTGTGCCCAGTTGGTCCCAGAGGTCACAAATACTTTGACACCTTTGATTCACTGATGCAACATCATGATAGTCCAGCTCACTTTGAGATAAAACAGATAGAGAGAGAAACTTTAGGCCATAATATTGCATTTGCTATTCGGTCTGTCCCCCACTAGTGGTTAACAGATGTAGTACTCACTAACTTATGGATTGATGTGGAATATTCTACACTTTAGTTATATTTTCTTTCCCTGTAGTCCGCTTGTTAGTAAAGGTTTCTTGCACTTCTTATGACCATTCCACCCTCTCTCTAATTCTAGCTGTTTTTGGTACTGAACCTCTAAGACTGGTGTTGTGATTGGCTAATAATATTTCAAACAGTTTCTGTTTGCTTTTTGTGTCCAAATGAATGTTGGTATGCTAATCATTATAAGTATGCTCCATAGTTTATCAGTAATATCACCCTGTACTAACTGAGACAGCATAAAGGTCAGATGCTGTCAGTCACTTACTAAATACATGCACACACTCATATTTTAACCAGGCCTGCAGGGAGATAATGAATGCTAAAATAGAAAGCCGGTGATTCAGACATCAAAGTATGCTGAAAGCGTAGTGCGTCTATATGTGTGTCTAGCTATGGATAAGCAGTGTGAGAGACATGAAGCTTTCCAGACACTGTAAAGTGACGAGAAAATGAATGTGACAGGTTAGTTATCAGGTATAAAGTACTTGTACACTACCTTTCAAAAGTTTGAGGTCGGTAAGATTGGTCTATTATGCTCAGCAAGGCTGCATTTATGTAATAAAAAATACAGTAAAAACAGTAATATTGTGCTATTTAATAACAATTTAAAATTGTCTATTTTATTCTATTTTCAAATATGTTTCAAATGTACTTTATTCCTGTGATGCAAAGCTGAATTTTCAGCATCTTTACTCCAGTCTTCAGTGTCACATGATCCTTCAGAAATCAGTCTAATACGTTGATTTGGTGCTCAAGAAACATTTCTTTTTATTATCAATATTTAAAATAGTTGTGCCACTTTTGTGAAAAGCATAATCCCCCTACGATTCTTTGATAAATAGAAAGTTCAAAAGAGTAACATTTATATAAAATAATCTTTAATGTAAAAGTCTGTTCCTTTTGATCAATTTAATACAGCCTTGCTGAATCAAAGTATTAATTTCTTAAAAATAATACTGACCCCAAAGCTATGAATGGTAGTGTACAGATTAAAGTATTCACTAAAATGAACAGTTCAGCAAAAAAAATAAAAAAATAAATCAAGTATTTTTTGAAGAGGATAAAAGAATAAAAAGTCATACTTGAGTTCCTGAGCAATAGCAGCGATCTGCTCGACTCTGTCTTGGTGGGCGGAAAGGTCACTCTCGAATGCCTCATGTTTCCGCAGCAAAGCTCGAACTTCCATTAAAGATGCTGACTCGTAGTCCTTCCGGCTCAATATCTCCTCCTTACCTATTGCAAAACGCACATAAAACATATGCAAGCATCATTTAGTGGACACTTTTTTTATCCAAAGTGGTTTACAGTACAGAATGATGATATTCCATTGATGACAGCACTTCATGTCTAGGACTCACCGGAAGCCCAAGTCTCATGGTTTGTAGCTTTCTGTCTGAATTTCTCTGCTAGATGGTCCAATCTTTCCAGTCTCCTGATCTCAGTAAGCAACCATTCCTCATAGCCCTTCTCTGCCTGTTCCAGTCCCTGCCACGCACTCGCTATGTCCTACATAGAAAAATACCCAGTTTTATATGTGTATGTGCTTGTATTATTTGCTTGAAAAAAATGCCCCCCAAAGCTAGCCACTTAGATTTAAATATATATATATATATAATACAGTGAAAAATAACAAACATAAACATAAACATAAAATAATAAATAATTAAAGTAATAAATATTGAAATAAATAAATAAATGTTAAAATATACAAAAATATATAACAGGCATGAACATAAAATAAATATAAAATACATATTACAATTGAAAAAGAGAAAGAAAATAAATGAATTAATATAAAAAATAAATAAATAAATACATATTCAAATAAATAAATATTAAAAGCTAGTAAACGCGTGTGTGTGTGTGTGTGTGTGTGTGTGGTCCAGGTATTTGCTAAGCTGCGGAGACCAAGTGTCCCCACAAGGATAGTTAAACCTGATATTTGTGACGTGGGGACAAAATTTCAGTCCCAATGAGGAAAAGAGCTTATAAACCATACTAAATAGTTTTTTCTAATGTAAAAATGCAACATGTTTTATGTAAGGGTTAGGTTTAAGGGTAGGATTAGGATTAGGGGATAGAATGTAAAGTTTGTACAGTATAAAAATCATTATTTCTATGGAAAATCACCATAAAACACATAAAACATAAAGATATGAGCATAAAAACCTGCGCGTGTGTGTGTGTGTGGTCAAATTCTCACCGACACCATCTTGCCCTCAGAGGGCATAAATGCAGGCCGGTTGCTGATGCGAAGTTTAGTCTGCAGGGTGTTGAAGCTGATCTCTAGCTGACACTTCTCCTGCACTTTGGGAGGTTTGTGCATCCTGCGGTAATCTCGGAAATCTTCCAGCTTCCGCTGCATCTCTACCATGGTCTTCTCCGCCACACGATTCTCCAGCCAGGGAATAGTTCGTCTGATCCACTCCAACAGCTGGAGAGTAGAGGAATATTGAGGAGAGGAGAGAAATGTGTGTCTGTGGGCAGTGTGGAGTGTATCAGATATGTCTCCTAACCTCACTAGCCAGTCTTTCATAGTCCTCCATCAACTTCTCATTTTCCTGATTCACTCCTAGGATCTTACAGATCCTGTTAGCAGCAGTTTCAGCCTGAGGGAGAGAAGCACAGTAAGAACGGAGGGCGAGATGGATGAAAAGAAAGCTGATTCTCTCATTCTAGCACACACAAAACTCAATACCTGTTCAGCTCCAGCAAACGCATGGTAGAAGCAGGACACATATGTCATAATAGCTCTCTCATCAGGCTTAGGGGTGCTCAGGATGTCTGCAGGGAGAGGAGAGGAGCTAAGGAACAACTACATGAAGTGATGGTGGCAATAGTGTGCGACAGAGGAAAATTTAAATACTACAAGGAAACACAAGTCGTGTTTATCTGCTAAAAATGAGGATAGGCCTATATGGACTAAAGGGACCATACACTCAGGCGTAACTAATATTTCTAGAATAAGCTCAGGGATCAGATGTACCTTCTGAGCCTCTGCAAACGTGTGATAGTAACTGGAGATATACGTCATGACTGTCCTCTCATCTGGCCTGTCACTGCTAACTAGGACTGTAGAGCAAAAGCCAAATTTTGTAATATTTTAAAGTTACAAGTAGGCAAATTGTTGCTTGTTGCTTATTTAGAATTTGCACCCAAGGTTTCCTACCAAAATTGTTTTTAGTTTTTCCTTGCCAGTCAACTGTGACGAATAGACCTTATTCAGAATAGATGCCATATATTTTCATAGTATTTAGGTAGTGTCAAATGTCTTATGTCACAATTTTTTGACAGCATAACATTCTTGTGAAAGATATTTTTAATGTTCACAGGCTGAAAGCTCTACATTGAGCTGGAATGGTATGGAGTAGAGCTGCACGATTGTGGATACATTGAGAATCACGATTTTTTTTTGTTTGTTGTTGCTTCAAACAGAGATCACGATTCTAGCACGATTCTGAACAGACAACTAAACAAAATAACGTAATTTACTAGAGGTTCTGACAAAATGTTATTTGCTGCAGTCTATTTAAAATGTTTAATGTCTGAATTAATTATTTTTAAAAAAGTTTGAATGAATGATTCAATGACTCACTGATTAAATAAATACTTCATATTACGGGATGAGTCAGAACAAATTTTGGAACAAATATCTTTAATGAATGATTCAATGTATCACTTGTCGCGCACAGGTGGCGTAACGATGTAATCGATACAATTGTCCTTTGAAGCTCAAGTTACTTTCAAAAGTGATTTGCTCTATTTTGATCGCTTCTGTAGAAATCAGTGTTTTTGCCAAACAATAAACTTGTATCCCAGTACTTCTGTGATTAATATGAATATTTCTTACACAGAAATAGTGAAACTGTGTGGTTGAAAAGACTGTTTGTAAAACTGTTTCATACCTATTCATGACAATTACTCTCTCTGTGTCAGCGACAGCGCCGATGCAGATCTGAATGTTCCAGTGTGATTTTGTCAAAGGTTTAATAAACACAGTCGAGTCGTTGTCAATTAGGAATGTGATCACGTGGGTGTTTGAATCGACATCGCGATCTTTTAACGATTAATCGTGCAGCTCTAATATGGAGTACTGATGAAAATTCGTTTACCCTCTGCATCCAGCATTTTGGGGATGTCCAGATGTTTTTCAGCAATGTCAAATGCCAGATTCAGATTACCAAGTGGATCATCCTACAGAAAGACAAAAGGAGAGAAAGGGCATAATTCTTGACCAAAAAACATAAGAAATAAGACATCACTTAAAAACTAAATCAAGTCAACATAAATCAAAATCCTTTTGCATGCAAATGTGAGGGTCAGTATTCAAGTGCCACCAGAGGAGAGGGAAAACATTCAAAATATTTCAAATGATAAATTAGTTCAAATGTATCTGAAAAGGAATTAAGCAAAAAATAGACAATATACTGGTTTACTTTTAAATATACAAATGTCTTTAAATTACAATAGCTACACTATAATTCAAAGATTTGGAGTCAGTAAGAAAAATTCATACTTGTATTTAGCAAGGATGCATTTAATTGATCAAAAGTGACACTAAAAACATTTATGTTACAAAAGACTCACATTTCAAATAAATGCTGTTCTTTTGAACTTTCTATTCATTAAAGAATCTGATTTCTGAAGGATCATGTGGCACTAACGATCAGAGTAATGGCTGCTTAAAATTCAGCTTTGCCATCGCAAGAATTTATTACATAATACAAAATATTGAAATAGAAAACAATACCATTTAAAATGGTAACAATATTTCACAATATTGCTGTTTTTACTGTATTTATTATCAAATAAATGCAGCATTGGTGAACATATGAAACTTCTTTCAAAAACAAACGCATCAATATATGTGCAAAAGGAAAGGGTCAGAATTTCTGAGCAATGCAATGCTGTCCTGCACTAGGGGTCTGGAGATCAAGCTTTTGTTCTCTGTGTCAATAAAAAGCTGCATTGCATGGACATCAGCAGCTGCAGGGGATCCAGAGAGTCCTGGACTCTCCTGATGCTTGTGTCCAAACTGGGACCATGGGGTCCATGCTAAACACTGGATTACCCCATTCAAGCTCACCTGGAGCCGTCAGTGACAGCTGAAAGGGATAGGCATGTCTGTGTGTGTGAGGGGACTTTTAGTCACTCACTGTTGAACTGACTGGCCCTGACCAGCTAAATAAATCCTTAATCTTCAGTGGTCCAATCCAACTAATTAAAACCATAGTACACATCCACTCATTCACAGACTTAGAAAATGTTTGACAAAATGTCCCATATCCTGCTTTCACCCTGTTCTAAGCTGATAGTGAAGAAATCAAACCTAGCCTTACTGTACTAACATGCATGCTAGTGGTATGTGGATTACTTTCCCAAGTTCTATTCTGGGTCAGGATTATTGTAAATCCAAATAGGCCTCTGAGAAAAAAAGTTATGGAATGGCTTTATCCAATTGCCTCTTGAGTACCAAACAACTGAAGAGTTGTGTGCACACTACCATTCAAAAGTTTGAGCTCAGTAAGATTTTTTTTAAAGAAATGAATTATCTTATTCAGCAAGGGTGAATCAAAGAAACTTAGGGAAAAAATGTATCACGGTTTCTACTAAATATTAAGCAGCACAACTGTTTTCATCATCAATAATAAGAAGAAATATTTCTTGAGCACCAAGTCAGCATATTAGAATGATTTCTGAAGGATGTGACTCTGAATATTAGAGTAATAGCAGCTGAAAGTTCAGCTTTGCCATCACAGGAATACATTACATTTTAAAATATATTGACAGTTTAACAGTTTAAACAGTTATTTAAAATGTTAATAATATTTCACAGTATTACTGTTTTTGATCTAACAAATGCAGCCTTGATGAAACTTCTTTCAAAAACATCAATCTTACAGACCCCAAACTTTTGAACAGTATGTTATGTCTAAGTAAACTAAGCTAACACAAGCTACTTGCTAATTAAAGTAGTAAAAAAATAAAAAATAAAAATAACTACACAAATTTGCTCTTACTATCAACAAAGGTCAGTGTATCATCCGATCATTTGATTTCCAATTTGAAATGAAATAAGCAGAAATGAGAAAACGGCACCTTTATTCGTTTTTTCAAAAAATTATAAAAAAAATTTGGCTTGATTTTTTCTTCAAAAAAGAAGTATATTTTCTATTATCAATTATTCTTAGTGTAAATTAGTATTCTTAAAGGGGTCATATAATGGTACATGCACTTTTACAAGTTGATTGTACTGAAATGTGTGTTGGCAGTGCCTGTACACAACCATCATAAAATTATAAAAATCCATCCAGTGTTTTTGTTTTAATCTCCTTATATGTTTTCCCCTGTCTCAAATCAAGCCGTTCGACCTTGTGACGTCACACGCTCGGAAGCCCCTCCCACGATTGTTGATTGACAGCAACGTTTCAAGACAGACCTGCCCTCGCTCGTGAGGGAGCTGTCAATCATAGTCCGCGCGGACCGGCGCGGTCATTGTTGATATGCTGGAGCACTGTCTATAAGCAGAATGGCGTCTAAGTGATTGTGGTGTTCTGTTCTTGGGTGTAATAACGAACACAGCAGTCATTTTAATGTTCCTAAATCCGAACCGCTGAAGACGCAGTGGCTGAGTTTGTTTTCAAAGGGAATATTCCCCACGAGCAACGTCAATGCTCTCATGTTTGCGCGAATCATTTCTCACCAGACTGCTTTATAAACGAGGGTCAGTATAAAGCTGGTTTTGCTAAGAAGCTGCTCATGAAAAAAGGATCGGTACCAGATATTCGTGTTCCTGCTGAACCTCTAGAACAACTGAAGTGAGTGTAACGTTTTATTAAACTTTATATTAATATTTATATTAATCTTTGCAAATCGCTAGCTGCACGCTTCACAATGAATGCGTCTAAGGTTTACACTTAGTGTACATTACGGCATGTTTTCTATGTATGATGAACGCGTTATGGTTATTGTGTTACAAATGGTGTACGCACAGAACAGAGGGGCGGGGTGAGCAAAGCTCATTATCATTTAAAGGCATATGCACTGAAACGGCGTGCCGAAAACAGAGCTGTTTTTGACCAGGTAAAATAAGTGTTTTCTTACAATACTAATGAGAATTTGTAATGAAAGTATATTACAAACTTTTAATTTAGACCCTAAAGAATCATACTAGCTTGTACAAAAATGGCATTATATGACCCCTTTAAATATTTTACTTCACATAAGAAATCTTTAAAGGTAGGAATTTTCTTAAGAAACCTTTGTTTGTGAAAGTAAAAGTTTGCCACAAGGATAAGGAAGTTACCAGTAGATTCTAAAGATTTGTTTGGGTTTTCAAAAAGACAAATTACATCCTTAATGGGTAGATTACCGTTGAGGACTATTATTTTGTTGAACAGACCTGAGCGACGACTGATGACGTCACATGCTCAGATTTACTTGACCAATCAGCGGAAGGGGGCGTCTCATGACCGCCTAAATTCCTGCAGTTTAGTTCTAACCAAGGAGCTGTAATGTACCTGGACAACATGTCCAGGAAACAGTTTACATGTGGAAAACGAATTTTGAAGTCATTTAGTCGTTTTTTGCCTGTGAACTAAAAAACTCAAGCCGAATTTTTTTTTTTTTTGGAAAAAAAATAAAAAATAAATAAAGGTGCCGTTTTCTCATTTCTGCTTACTGGTATTTCATTTCAAATTGGAAATCAAATGATCGGATGATCCACGGACCAACAAAACATCTCCATGTTTCAATCTCAGAATCTCACTCCTGCTCCTACAACATTTTTGCAGTTTAACTTCAACCAAAAAACACACCTGAACCAGCTAATCAAAAACTGTCCAAATCATTATAACCATCGGAAGGTAATAGAAAAACATTCTAGATAGACAGCAACTTTTAAAGAATCACACAAAGTACACAGATGGCACTCTGTATGTGAAGTGCTAAACTATCACAGATTCTAATAGAGTTAGCATGTAGCTAAGCTAACAAATCTAACAAGCACAAAAAGCCAGTATAGCACACACAAATGGACAATTAAGATACTAGGAGAAACCTTTTCTTTTTTTTTTAAGATTAGGCTATCAACATTTCTCTCAACTTTCTATAGAATGCTTTTCTAGACGCAACCAGAGAGCAACTGCCACTGAAATGAATAGAAATGCTAACATACAGCTTTGTCCAGGTACATTACAGCTCCTTGGTTAGAACTAAACTGCAGGAATTTAGATGTCCAGCAGGATTGAGCATGTCTAATCTATTAAATTCATATTGTTACAGAAAACCACATCCAACAATACTATAAACCACGTATGATACCTTCAAGTTCTGAAAGTCAATCAGTTCGGATCTGTGCCTGTGAATAAGGGCACAGAAGGCCAGTCCATCTTTCCAGCTATTGAAGCCACAAAAGCAAAAGAAACAGTGGATTTCTGATCATGCATGCTATAAATTAGGTGTGAATTAAGAACAGACAAAAGTTATCACGCACACTCATCCTCCAAAAAACATGTTAGACAGATCTTTGCAGTAATATCATTGGAACATCAGGATATTGTGGCAGACATGCTATTTTACTACTGTGATTGGACTGTTAGACTAAATGTCCCAGAGGGTCAAATGTTAATCTGGGGACACACTTGAGACCTTGTTGAGCTTGGCGTAGTCAATGAGATCAGGCCTGTGCCTGTGGATGAGAGCGCACAGCGCCAATCCATCCTTCCAGCTTCACCAGAGAGAGAATCAGGGTCAAGTTGGAATTAACATAAAAACTGAAACCATATAACTGAACATAATAGTGTTTGTTTTTTCATCTAATGGAACAAATCAGATACTCATATTAAGATACAAAACATTGATATGGCCTAACAACATTTTTGCCCCCAAAAAAGAGCCTCACCTGACATGAAAGTTTTGAACATTGACATTCCTGTAGGGGGCAGTCTTCCTCTGACACCAAAGTAGAAGTCCTTCTTTGGCCGAGGTTTCTGAAAGATTATTAGGGAATCATTATATCATAAACATATGACTAACATCTGTTTTGTAATTACATTTTTAAACTGAATACAGTTATTAAATTCACTATAGCACAAAAATGCTTTTTTAATACAATGTTTTCCATAAATTGTTAATTAGGAATTTACAGATTTTTAAAAGACGTGGAATTGCAATCTTCAGTATGCACCTTTGTAATAAATCAAATGATTATTCTTTGACCAAAGAGTTCTTCTATACTCTGCTTTGACATAAACTGATTTAAACATTCTTGAGTTTGTGAAATGTGCCACATATAATAATAATAATGTTTTGCTGTTGTGGTAACACTTTATTTTAGGGTACAATTCTCACTATTAACTAGTTGCTTATTAGCATGCATATTACTAGGATATTGGCTGTTTATTAGTACTTATAAAGTACATATTAATGCCTTATTCTGCATGACCATTATTCTACATCCCTTAATCCTACCCAATACCTAAACTTAACTACTTTGCTAACTATTAATAAGCTGTAAATTAGGAGTTTGAGGCAAACGTCATAGTTAATAGTGAATATGTGTTTCCCATCCCCAAGTATTACCGCTGTTGTTTGTGCAGATTTGTGTCATTTCATGATTGTGATTTATTTTCTTTACCTTCAACAGATATATCCTGAATGGCGAAGCGAAGGATGATAGTCCAAATCATACCAAGAGTCATTTTCACATTCCCATCCACAATTTCTGCAAAAATGTGACAGAAAAATCACTGCTTAAATATATAAAGGGCTGAGTAAGTTAAAATTACATACAATTTTGTATACAATATATAGGACATATGTATTTGACGTTATTAATAACCCGCATCTCCTAATAAATGTATTACAAAAATATCAGCAATCAAGTTAAAAAATAAAGCATACCTTCTGCTCCAATGGAGACCAGTTTCACACCTTTACTGGTGATGAATTCAAGGGCTTTGTTAACATTGGCTATCTTGTGAAAACGCATCTTCCCTCTGTCAGGCTTGGGTAACCTCTCACCTGACAAAATACAGCTTGGTATAAAACATTTATATATATATATATAGTGGATATCAATATTTGGTTCAGCATATTTACTTTAGTTCGATATATATACAAAACTGTCAAATATTATATTGTAATCATTACAGTCACATGCTGAATCATTGTCTAACATGTTCATTGTGTCTGTCTGCTTAACCAATTTCATTACTTTGATACACCCATCTCTGATTGATAGCATTTTCTGTGAAGCTGCTTTGAAACAATATGTAAAAACGCTATAAAAATGACCTTGAATTAAATTAAATTTACCTGAGATGACTTCAAGAAGCAGCATTAGTTTGAGGCCATTCCTGAAGTCTTCCTCTATGTTCTCAATCTGTGTCCCAGCTTTTCTCAGGTGAGAGTTGCACCAGGCCGTGAACGTCTAGGAAACAAGTACAATGTAATTTAACATACAATTCTCCAAATTCACAAAGAAACTCTTACCAGACAAACATCCAGACTCGCACACACATTCTCTCAATTTTTGGCATAGCATATGTATTCTACACTCAACATTTATGCATTTAAATGCTACCTTTAACAGAATCCTTGCACAAAACCACACTGTGAATAGTGTCACTAAGCCAAATGTGTGTCAGTAAACCAGATTTGATCATAAGACTGTTAAGTCTTACCAGGTTTGTTGTGATACAGTGAAAGCCTTTGACACCACTTTCAGGTCAAAACCTCACCGCATGGGTGACTACAAAGGACTACAAAATGTGACTGTCAATAGCAGAGATTCTGTTATTCCGTTATTTAATCAAAAATCTTTAATCAATTTAATTAAGACATTAATTATGAACATGAAGTGTTCAGACCAATCAACGAGATAACAGAACAACATTGGCATTATAAAATTCCCCAACACACACTTGCACTGTATCTACACTTGAGTTGTACTGATGAGTTCATCCTCCAGAAATAACCAGCACTTAACTACATGTACAATAAGCTACATAGCTAAAAACTGCCAGCTGCTATCATCCTCTGTATCATGCTTTCCAGAACCACTTTTAAAGGTTTCGGACGCTTATAATTCAGGACATCACATCAGCACCTCAATTCCAGAGTGAATAACACTTTGTCTACTCAGGTTAATGCTTTTGGAATATTTTGGGACCAAAAGACCCTTATAAGTATCATTTACTATAAGGTATATAATTTAATATCGGCTTCAGGTCTTTTACTACTATACCCCGGTTTCACAGACAAGGCTTAAACCTTGCCCCAGACTAAAATGCATGTTTGAGCTGTTTTAACTGAAAGCCACTTGCACTGATATATCTTAAAATATGTCTGTGCCATTGTTTTGTCTCAAGATGCACACTAGTAATGTTTTTTTTTCTAAGATATGTCATGTCTATAAAAGCTACTTGTCATGTCTATAAAAGCTACTTAAATGTCCTAATTGAACTAAGGCCTAATCCTGGCTTAATCTGAGCCCTGTCTGTGAAACCAGGCCTATATGTGTAGAGCCACAGATAAAGATGCACATTATAACTATACTCAACCCTATTCTGCCAGGGTCCAAAATGAACACTCATCAAGCGCCAAATGAGTGTTAAAATAGGGAAATAAAAGACAAAAATACTAGGAACACTTTTAAAATGTGTCTTTACATATTTGTGACAGGTGTAGTTTCATAAAGAGATGGAGTCTGGACCAGTCTGGTTAATCTCATGTTACACAATGAGCTGTGATGCTTGCCAAATATATGTAGCTATAATAATCCCGCACTGTCATACGGAATATAAATTTATATAAATTTATATAAATATAAATACACTTTTTCTCATTTCAAATTAACAAAAAGTTCATTTTTGATCCTGCATACTGCATTCGAATTATGGGCATATCCAAATCTAAATGAGAAATGTTGTGACACTCAATGCTATTATGCAAAAAAAAAAATGTTATAGAACAATATGTGGCTGAACTGCTGCCCACTCCCAAATCAACTGCTACCCTTTGGCCATTTTTTGGAATCAAAAGGCGTATTTTTAATCCCTGAAAGCATGCTCGGACCTGCCACAGTCATTGCCGGGCCAATGAAAGCTTTACTGGACTCCAGAGTGCATTCCTGCGAGGTAATAGTGTAAATTTAGCTTTCTACAGAGTCCATTTCTGATAAGGGACCTGATGAAGTAGCTCACACTGAGATGAGAGATACGAGTGAGAATGCGTTGCATATAACACATTTGTTTATCGCATTGCTGCTTCATCTAATCGGAGAGGAAAGAATTTCACTCATTCTGTAAAACTGTAGGGTGTGTCCACAGTAACATGCCTCTGGAAGAATAAGAAAGAGTGATTAGTCAGTCTCCATCTAACATTTAAGCTTCAGAATTAATAAATATCTAAGTTGATTTGACAAGAAAGGATCTGCTATGTGAACGAGGTTCAATTTAGGGGCTAAATGAATTGTATTATCATCCAACTATGCCTGGACAAGCAACCACATTTTATTAAACCAGCCAAGTTAAACTGAGGATTTAAATGTAGATTGAGACTTCCTTCCTATTTATTAACTGAATGGGCTACATTGTGTGAATAATATATATAAAAAAGACCACTGAGGCACTGTTATATTTTTGCTATACACTAAAATTGTCGTAAATACTGTATATCTGGGTGTGTCTGACATTTTGTTGAATTTAATCATTTTTCAATCACCAGACATGTTTGGAACTTCAAAATAAAGAACATTACAAATTTATTCAGAAAGTGTTCAGCCATGACAATCAACGTACATTTTTTTTTCTTTACATCAAGAGAATGAATGAATAATTCATAGGCAAGTCCACATGTGGATCTAGTAAAAGGATTAAAACTGGATTGGTCAGATAAAGCAGAGGGTTTATCACGACACAGACAGAGACCCTAAAAAACTAAACCCCACATAAGGAATATCCATGTGTTTACAACCCTGACCATCAATACTGTCAAAATAATCTCATATGTAAGGCCAAATCTAAAAAATTATATGAAATCTATTAGGCCTATACCTGTCAAAAAGAAGCCTATCTGTCCATGTCAACTCAGAACATAGGCTATCTGAAAAACACTTTTATAGACTACAAATTGGAAAAGGTGCTGTTTATATAGGCCTATACAAAAGAATTCCCCTCCAAGGACACCGGATTAGGCTACTATAGCCTAATGCCTTTTGGTCGTGGAGTTAAAATTAGCCCCTGCATCCATTCTAATCCCAAGGACGTCATCCTGTGTTGGAAGCATCTGTTGACAGTCCGCATTCCAATAGTATCAGCAACAGACACACAGGGCCGCTATTGTTAGGCTACCAGCTGCATCCATCCTGACGAGCAGACCCCTCCGTGACACTAACAGACCACAGAGCCCATAGCGAGACGGCATTCCTTTGCAGACAACTGTTAACTCGCCGTTTTAAATGATAAATAATAAATACATCAAATATATTAATTAAATTATTAACAATAATAATCTCAAAATTAAAAACATCAAAGTTTTGATGTTTGAAAGCTTCAATGTAGAATTAGTTTAAAAGTTTGGTGATATTTAACTAATTATCTGTAAAGCATAATAATAATAATAATAATAATAATAATAGGCTAATAGGAAAGTGCAAATAATGCTTTTATTCTGTGGTGTTTTGGGACCAAACTTTCTCTTACCTTTCGTTGCTGTTTTTCCCATGCTGGGTCCAGCAGTAAATCCCGGTCCCATTCATCCTCCTGCAACATGTAGTCCTCCGGTTCATATCCATTATCATATGGCACTGAAAGCTCCATCTGATTCATCATTTAACCGTTCTCTTATTTGATGGGTAACTTGTGATATTCGTCTTCTGAGCGTAAGTGTTTGGTGTAACTGGACTCGTATCTGAAAGTATCTCGGGTCTCTCTCTCTCTCTCTCTCTCTTTCGTTCGTGTTGGTTTCCAGTCTCGCGGCCGCAGCAGTGACAGCAATGAGAGGAGCGACTGTCAATTAGTACTGATGGGTCACATGACCCGTTGTCCCTCCACCCGCAGTAAACTCAACCTTCACAAACGTTATTTTAACGTGCAAACAACCGTTTCCATTTCGTTAAACAATGTAAAGCTACCTAAACTCATAACATTAGGCTACTACAGGCCTATTTAATTCACAGATCGAATTATGTTATGTAGGCTATATTAGGTTACCCTTGGCCTTTATTTCAATTTAGACATTCATAAGAAACTTTGCAACATGTGGACTAACTCTCATTAGTCATATTAGACTAGGTATTAAAGGGTTGGAGTTAGGGTTCGGGTTAGTAAAATAAGTTGACATGTTACATGTAGCTGCAAATATATGATTTTAAGCAGACAGTCTACTGATAGGGACTAGCCTCCAATGACTGGTACAGGGCTGCCAACTCTCACACATTTCAGCGTCCGAAATCGCATACTCTCTTGAGAGAAAGTACTTATTTTGAACTAAAAAAGTATGTTATGAGTGCATTCTGTACGTATATATTCGCCATGCTGTCAGTATCATAATTTGTTACATGTATAGCGCTTTTCTGGGTACTCAAAGCGCTCTTTTCTCCTCAACCACCACCAATGTGCAGCAACCACATGGATGATGCGACGGCAGCCATACTGCGCCAGAACGCCCAACACACACCAGCTTTTTGGTGGAGAGGAGACAGAGTGATGAAGCCAATCATTATGGGCAGAGGTGGACAAAGTAGGCTACACAACTTCCTTACTTGAGTGAAAGTACAGATACAAATATTACCCCGTTAAGTAAAAGTTGTAAAGACCTATTTTTAATTAAGTAAAAGTACAGAAGTACTCGTTTTTAAAAGTACTTAAGTATCCAAAGTAAAAAGTAAATGTCAATGCATTGTTTTATGTAATACTTACAGTACCTTATGCCTCTTAATCTATGCCTGCCCACCTAGAACACAGTTCCAGTAGTGGGATTGAATGTGAGATTGAATAAGTGCACTCAATAACATCCACATTGGTTTCGGACACCCAAATGGCTGTTCCCTCAAATAGTGCCCTATTTAAAGTTTTTTGGCTTTTAGTATGAATATGTTAGCCTTACTGTTATCTATGAGCTAGTGTGCTCCAAAACAATGACAAAATTCGCATTTAGAAATCCAAACCCAACGTTGAAAATAAAAAAATCAAGTTGATGTCTGAATCCAACGTCAGAATGACGTTAATCTCCAACGTTGGACAGACGGGTTGACATCAGAAACCAACTTCAGTCGGTTCTAACGCCAATCTGACGTCGGGTTCTGACGTCAACCCGACTTTCATTTCCAACCAAAAAGCAAACCCTGCAACCAAAATCCTCCCCTGACTGACTACTCAAGGACCTTGACAGAAATGTAGTGGAGTAAAAAGTACGATATTTGTCTTTCAAATGTAGTGAAGTTAAAGTAAAAAGTTTCCAGAAAAAATTATACTCAAGTAAAGTAGATTCTCAAAAAGTGTAGCTACTTGTACATGTAGGCTACTTTGTTACTGTCCACCTCTGTATATGGGGATTATTAGGAAGCCATGAAGGACAGAGGCCAATGGGCACATTTTATTACAATATTCAAACAATAAATACTGTTTGGCGCTTTTTAATGTGGCCTGACAGTTCAATGTAGCGCCTCAGTTCAAGCGGCAGTTGAACTGATCATCTCTTCCTCTTTACTACTAGTATTCTGGAATAAACATGGGTATGGGTATGATAGGGTATGTTGTAAAGATACAGTACAATTTACTGAAAGTTACTGAAATTAGTCTCATGTTATTGCTAAATCAGTGTTTCAACTGCTGAAAGACGTAAAACAGCTTGTAAACAATGTACACATACATTTACCCCAGGAAAACCATTCAGTGACCAGCTTGTTATAATGAGCTCTAGAGAGGAGCATTTTGCTAAATATATGCACTAAAGGCATATTACATATTCATTATATTTTTAATCTTATATCATTAAAAATAGTATATTATATTATTATAAAAACCTCATTATATAAATTGTAAATTAATTGTATACAAAGCAGTTAATTTTAACCTTTAATGGTATAGTTATCACAAACCGGTTGATTAGAACACACGGCAAAGATTAGATTCAAAAGTCTTTAATAAATAATCCACATGATTTAACTCAGAAGATAGCAGGCAACGTAATAACAGTGATACACTGAAAGGACTGGACAACTCACTATAGGGAACAAATGACTAATCAAATAAGTAACCATATAACTAATAACGAACTCAGGCAGAAAGGAACACATAAATAACAGAAAACAAACACAAACAGAACAGAGCTGTGACAAGTAATGTACCATATGACAGGGTTTCCTATAGTTTACAGCATAAATTGAGAGTTTTTTTTAATCCAAATTAATCGATATTGAATCTATTTGAATCGAGATCAGAAACGTCTTTGAAAGAAGTGTCTAATGCTCACCAAGACTGCATTTTGTTTGATCAAAAATACAGTAAAACAGTTAAGTATTATTACAATTTCAAATCACTGTTTTCCATGTGATTATTGTGTAAAATGTCATTCATTCCTGATTAAAGCTGAATTTTCAGCATCATTTTTCCAGTCTTCAGTGTCACATGATCCTTCAGAATTCACTATATGCTGATTTGATGCTCAAGAAACTTAATTTGAACAGTGTAAACCGTTTTATCAGGATTCATTGTTAAATAGACCCTGAACCTTTTAACGGTATAGTGTACACAACTATAAAAAAAAAGAAATTCATACTTGTATTCAGCAAGAATGCATTAAATTTATCAAAAGTGAGAGTAAAGATTTCTGTTTCAAATAAATGCTTCTGTTTTTTGTTTTTTTTACCTTTCATTCATTAAAGAATCGTGTAAAAAAAAGCTAAAATATTAAGCTGCACAACTATTTTCAACATTGATAATAAGAAATATTAATTTCATGTGACATTGACATGTGACATATTCAATAATCATGTGACACTGAAAACTGGAGTAACTCCACAAGATGTTATTCGAACAATCATTTGCTGGAGAACGATCATCAGGTTTTGCACAAACATGCAGCTCAAGTGTTGCTGTCGTGAAAGCAAATAGGTGACATACCTTACAAATTCTAAGATATTTTGTACATCAATTCATGTAAAAAAAAATTATTCAACTTTTCACTCAAATTGTTATACTGATAATATAAATAACAGAAGATGATTTGTTCAATTAGACATTTTTGGTATGCTTCTTAAAGGGTTAGTTCATCCAAAAATGAAAATGAACTCACACTCATGTCGTAAGACCTTCGTATCACTATTGAAGATCCTTTTGATGAAATCGTCTCAGGTTACGACTGTAACCGTAGTTCCCTGAGAAAGGGAACGAGACGATGCGTCACTTGACGCCTTGGGAACGCCCCCAGCGTGAATGCGTCTGAGCATCAATGTCAACTAGTCCAATGGAAAGAATGAGCGTCACGGGCGGGTGACGTCATGACCAGGAAGGGATAAAGGCTCACCCGGTGAAACGCGGCATTAGCTTCAAAAAGTCGAAGCAAGCCGATCACAGGGAAGCAGGAAGTATGGCAGGGTGACGCATCGTCTCGTTCCCTTTCTCAGGGAACTACGGTTACAGTCGTAACCTGAGACGTTCCCTTTCGAGGGAACTCTCGATGCGTCACTTGACGCCTTGGGAACGAGAATACCCAAAACGCCAGAATTCCAAGTACCTGAGTGTCAGTCTGTTGAAACTAAGCACTAAGCACCTGAGAACCTGGGGCAGCATCCAGGTCTAAGCTGTAAAACCTAACGAATGTGAACGGTGAGGACCAGCCTGCCGCATCACATACGTCTTGAAGAGAAACTCCAAATAATAAGGCTTTAGAGGCCGCCATACCCCTCGTAGAGTGAGCTCTGACCACCAAAGGACACGGCTGGTCAGAGTACTCGTATGCAAGTGAAATAGCCTCAACTATCCACTTACTAACCGTCTGTTTAGAAGCAGGAAGACCCTTCTTAGGTGATCCAAAGCAAATAAATAACTGGTCGGACTTCCTCATAGACGATGTCCGATGAACATAAGTATCCAGTGCTCGCACTGGACACAAGAGGTTCAGCCTTTCCTGGTCCGCAGATGTAAAAGGAGGAGGACAGAAAGCCTGCAGCACGATAGGCCTCGGAATCAAGGTCGGCACCTTAGGGACGTATCCCTGTTTTGGATATAAGAATGCCTTGACCATCCCCGGTGCAAACTCAAGGCAAGTGGGGGAAACCGAAAGGGCCTGAAGGTCTCCAACTCTCTTAAGGGATGAAATAGCTAGCAGAAAGATAGTCTTAAGGGTAAGAAATTTCTCTGAAACCGAATCTAAGGGCTCGAATGGAGCCCTAGACAGGCCTTCTAGTACTATTGCCAAATCCCAAGCTGGCACCCTAGTGCGAGTTGCAGGCCTCAGCCTCAATGTGCCACGAAGGAAACGTGTAATCAGGGGGTCTCGACCCAACGATGTACCCCCAACCAGGGCGTGGTAAGCCGCAATGGCCGCCACGTAAACCTTAAGTGTGGAAGGACATAAACCTGACGTAAAGCGCTCCTGCAAGAACTCGAGTACTGTGTTCACAGGACAGTTAACCGGATCCCACTGATGTCGGTGACACCATACAGAAAAAACTTTCCATTTCAGCGCATATAGTTTCCTAGTAGCTGGAGCTCTGGAGCTTAGGATGGTCTCAGCAGCCTCAGCTGAGAGACCACTCTCTATGAGTTGGGCCCCCTCAGAGGCCAAACCCACAGGTTCCAAATCTCTGGTCGAGGGTGAAATATTGTGCCCCCGGCCTGAGACAGAAGGTCTCTCCTGATCGGGACCTCCAAGGGAGGTCCGTCGAGGAGAA